AACCATGTCACCCAAGGCTGTGTCCAACCTGGCCTTGAACACTGCCAGGGATGGAGCATTCACAATTTCCCTGGGCAACCCATTCCAGTGCCTCACCACCCTAATAGTAAAGAACTTCTTCCTTATATCCAATCTAAACTTCCCCTGTTTAAGTTTTAACCCATTACCCTTTGTCCTATCACTACAGTCCCTAATCAAGAGTCCCTCCACCGCATCCTTCCAGGCCCCCTTCAGATACTGGAAGGCTGCTATGAGGTCTCCACGCAGCCTTCTCTTCTCCAGGCTGAACAGCCCCAACTTTCTCAGCCAAATATTTGATGCCAAGTGGACAGCTCTCACATCTGCTTTTCTTTTGGCTGCAGCCCAAGCCAGCCGTTAATATTTTTCCCCAAACTAACCTGGAAACAGGCCTCTGCCAAAATTAAGCAGCTTGTTTCAATTTCCTCTCTGCTCAACTGAATGTGCCTGCTTAGGGTTGCAGTATCCTGCTACAGGCAGTGCCTTGGTAATAAAGATCTCTGTTTTCAGCTAAGTTGTTGACAGCAAGAAAGCACATCCCACAATATATGCACACAGCTTAAAAACTGGAATCTCGATCCTGGTTCAAAGCTGCTCTTATTAAAACCATTTTTACAAGGGCATGTAGTGACAGGACAAGACATTAGAGATAAGTTCTTTCCTGTGAGGGTGCTGAGGCGCTGGCACAGGGTGCCCAGAGAAGCTGTGGCTGCCCCAGCCCTGACAGTGTTCAAGGCCAGGTTGGACAGGGCTTGGAGCAACCTGCTCTAGCGGAAGGCGTCCCTGCCTGTGGCAAGGGGTTGGAACTGGATGAGCTTTAAGGTCCTTTCCAACCCAAACCATTCTGTGATTATCTGGTTCTATGAAAATCAGAGTCATAGAAAAATTACACAGACAAAATTATATTAATTTGTGGCTCATCCATTACTGAAGGCGCCCTTATCTTTTTTTATTTTTTCCTTTACAAGAGGGATTGGTGGTTTAGCCACATTTCTATGGCTCCTATTACCAGACTAACTGATCATCTGTAGTATATTCACCCTAAGGACTGCCAAATAATATAAGGAAATAATACCATATAAATAGGCATTATCATATAAATTTCTTATATAAATATTATATATTCCTTATAGATATATCTCATATATTCCTTATATATAAATATAAGGAAATAATGCTATATAAAGGCCATAAACGACATAAAGAATAAAAGCATACACAACACAACCCTCACAATACTATTGTTATTCCCATTTTCAAGTTCCCAGAATGTGATTATATAAAATTACACATAATTGTATAGAATTGTATAAAACAAGCTCTACCTGTAAAGCGGTAACAGGTGCAGGCTTTCAAGCAACAAAGCTTTCTAGGGTTGACAAAAAACAGCTCAATCACAGCTAAACACTGCCAGAACCAGCTTAAAATCATCACAGGCCTGCAGTTGACCATAGGTTTCTAAAACATAATCAGGAATAAAGTTAGTTCTCCTCCTGCCCCTGAAGGATACTGAAGCATGGTTCTGTGCACAGTTCTGGTGTCCTCAACATGAGAAAGACATGAAGCCATTGGAGCAAGTCCAGAAGAGGTCATGAGGATGATCAGGGGACTGGAGCACCTCCCATATGAAGATAGGCTGAGAAAGTTGGGGCTGTTCATCCTGGAGAAGAGAAGGCTGCGTGGAGACCTCATAGCAGCCTTCCAGTATCTGAAGGGGAGGGACTCTTCATCAGGGACTGTAGTGATAGGACAAGGGGTAATGGGCTCAAACTTAAACAGGGGAAGTTTAGGTTAGATGTAAGGAAGAAGTTCTTTACTGTGAGGCACTGGAATGGGTTGCCCAAAGAAGTTGTGAATGCTCCATCCCTGGCAGTGTTCAAGGCCAGGCTGGACGGAGTCTTGCACAACATGATTTAGTGTGAGGTTTGGAACTAGATGATCTTCAGGTCCTTTCCAACCCAAACTATTCTGTGATTCTATGGTGCTGGCACCCCAGGACTTTCGGCAGTGCTTGCTGGTTGGGTTTTCCATGCCTCCAGCAAAGAAATCCTCTGTGATACCCAACTGGAATCTCGTTTATTTCCCCAAACTTCTGTCAAAATTAGAAGTTACTTGGTGGTTTCAGAAAACCTCCATGGCTTTTTAAACATTTTAACCATTCTTCACAATAAACAGCAACCACATGTAGGAGGAAAATTGCAGTTGCCTTACACAGCACCACAACAAAACAGGAAATCAAGTGGGAAGGGAAGGTGACAGCTCAAGATGCCAGGAGAATTTTAGGTGGGAAGAATGCAATTATCCCAACAGAAATAGGATCTGAACATTCATTTTTGGAAAGGGTGTTCAATTTTTGCACTTGGAGGCAGAAATACGTCCATGCACTCACCGCTTTCACAACCCCTCGGATTCTGAGTTGCTCTCCTTGACCTAAAATGGACCCTAACATTTTCTCTCAGTTTAACACTCCTGAGCTTTCTCAAAGGGCAATTACATCCAGAAGCATTTGAAACCAATCCTTGCTTTCTATTTTATCACTGGTTGAACACTAGTGATCACATAACCAGGTATATCCAGGCCCTGAGAACCTCTCTATCCCCAAAAAAAACCTTAGTGGAAGCAGCTTTGAGATCTCCCATAAGCAGCCAGCCTGCAAGGACTGTGTGTGAAATAGGCGACAGTCGTAATAGCAGCACAGCTGATATAGTATCACTTTCTGTATGGAAACCACGTGGTGCAGTTTCACTGACGCCGTGGGCCTGGCTTATTTCCTTATTTTCATATTTACCTTTCAAATGGAAGAGCTCAGTTTTAAACCCTCCTAATGGGTTCACAGGCTTATAAGCAAAATAAAGCACGCGCAAGATGTAGCACACATTTTAGTTCTTGCTTTATGAATCTACTGCACTTCACAGATTCAAACTGAATTAGTTGGATATGGAAATATATAGAATGCACTGAGGCCCAAATGTTTGACTAGTGAAGATGAGAACTTTACTCATCTGAAAGAAAGGCCCACTTCACCAAACTGCAATTCAACTGCATTTTGGAGTTTTACATGAGGAAGGAAAATGAAATAAATACTTCCGTAGAGTTCATAAAAGATACCTTGCATACACAGGCACTGTTTTAACCTGAATCCAGCACTTTTAAAGGAGAAGCAGGAGGACGAACTATGGGGCCCATACACAAGCTAGTAGAAGGAAATGCAAAAACCTCTTTCATTACTTCAATGCTTTAAGAGGAAGAAATGTGCAGGTATCAGTAGCAGATCTAAAACTAAAAGCAGCAGGTTAGATTGCAGAAATAATGCTGTATCTATCCTGTCTCTGACTGACCAGAGGCTACAGTCTGGTCTTGACATTCCCAGCCTGGTTGTCTTTGACTCCTCTGCGTGGCTATTGCAGGCCACAGTGATTTGGGTCATACCCACATCTGTTGTGACAGGTGTGTAGCTAGATGCAAATACAGCAGTTTGGGGCATCTTTATTCTTAAGCAGCCTGGTATCTAATTAATGCTATACATGATGGTTTTGCCCAGATTCACCACTAATTCATGGTCCCGTTCCAGCTTCCACTCTCTTGACATTAGCTTGGCTCAAACTTTCAGATAGTGTATTTCAGATACACAACCCTGAATGCCAATAAACAGGTACATGCAGTAAATGAAACTATTTCTGAAAGGGTGGAAGACCTATGATTCACCCTGTATCAAAATGGTCAGTTCTGCTTATCCACCTTTAAAATCTTCATTCATATAATGCTATTTAAATGCTGACCTGCTCTTATAAACAAATAGATTTTATAAGTGAGCACCCAAAAGAAGACTCCAGGGAGACCTTATTGTGGCCTTTCAGTACTTAAAAGGGTCCTGTGAGAAAAATGGGGAGAGATTTTTAGCAGGGCCTGTTGTGATAGGAGGAGGGGTGATGGCTTTTAACTGAAAGAGGGGAGATTCAGGCTGTATGTGGGGAAGAAATTCTTTACAATGAGGGTAGTAAAACACTGGAATAGGTTGCCCAGAGCGGTGGTGGATGCATCACCCCTGGAGACATTCAAGGCCAGGCTGGATGTGATTCTGAGCAACCTGATCGAGTTGATCATCTAGACGTCCCTGCTCATTGCAGGGGGATTGGACTAAATGACCTCCGAAGGTCCCTTCCAACCTAAACTATTCCATGATTCTAAGTTACAAGTGCTTGACCTTTGGATTTAAAAGTCTCCTCATCACACTCAGGAAAGGGGTGGCTAATTGGCTGCTGCACAAGCACTTCTGTAACTCGGGATAGGGGAAAGATAGGAAAATAATGAGGAAAGTTGTCCCTTCTCCCGCAGAGCACAGCTGGAACAGCAGCAGAAGCACAGCAGAGCAGGTGAAAGCCTCGGAGAGCACTCCCAGTGCCCACCCTGCCCTGGATCCGAGGAGCAGCCTCGGTCCACAGCGGAGCTCCCCGAATTCCAAACACCGAGGTCCGAGACCGCTGCTCCTTGGCACCCGTCCCTGACAGCTGCCGAATGACGGCGAGATCCCGCAGCACCGCAGCTCAGGCGCAGAGCCAGGGCACGGCACTGCTCGGCACGGCTCGGGAGGCCGCTCACAGCCCGGGCTGAGCAGCGCTGGGGAACAAAGGGCGGCAGGGCTCCATCGCCCCCCGCACAGCACCGCCGCGGGAGCCTTACTCGGGAGGGAATCCCAGCGGTAAAGGAATGTGCCAAGGAGGAGGAGGGCATGGGAAGGGCGGGAAAAGCCATCCGGGACGCCCAGGTACCGGGGAGAGGTTGAGGCACCGCTGCCAGGGATGCTCTCCAGGAGGGCTGCTCTGCCCATGGCCCGCTCCCCACGGCCTAAAGCCGCCTTGCACCCTACCCATGAGGGGAAGCGCCCCCCGGCAGCCCCCCACCCACCCTCGGAGAGCTGCTCTGCTCACCGCCCAACCGGGCCCTTTGTCCGCCGCGGAGGGGCTGTCGGGGAGGCCGGTTACCGATGGAGATCTCCTGGGCGAAGGCGAGGGAGATGAGGAGCAGCGGCAGCCCCACGGCGATGCAGGTGACGATCTTATCCAGCGCCAGCTCCAGCCGCAGCCCTTTGTACCGCGTCTCCGGCGGCTCCTTCAGCAAGAAGTCGGAGAAGACGTACTCGGTGGCGATGTGCGCGATGGCCATGGCGGGCACGGCGCGGGTCGCCTCGGCCCGGTACGGCCATGCACGGCCCGGCACGCTTCGGCTCCGCCCGGCGTGGCTCGGCTTGGCTCGGCTCCGCCCCGCCCGGCGGAGGGGCTGTACCACGGGGCTGGGCCTCAGTGCCTGGACCGGGACGGGATGGAGGAGCCGAGGGGTTTGTGCACCTTGTGTCCCAATAGATGGGGGCTTCTCGCGCTGCGCTTTGTGCCCACCGCATCCTGCCCTCCAGCTGGGCACCGCTGGGAAGAGTCAGGCTCCGTCTGCGCTGCATACCCTCGGCAGGTCCCCCCGAGCAGCCTCTTCTCCAGGCTCCGGCACCCCCAGCGAACCCCTCCTCAGCCAGATGCTCCAAGCCCTCACCCTACCTAGCACCTTGTGCTGCCGCATGTGTCCCCACACAGTGTTCGCTCACCACCGCCACATCTTTAGTTGCTTTTTATGGGGTGCCTTCACCTTTGATAACCCTTAATTCATTTGCCCCCTTTATATTTTTCCAGTTGTTTTCTGAACCTCTGTAGGCTTGGAGCATCCTCATCCTCCTCCCAGCAGCTTTTGGCTTCCCATCCCGGAAAGCGCCACCTCCTGTGCTCTGCTTTGGATCTAGCACTTCCTGGCTCATGCTGCCTCTGCCAAAGGGGAGAAATCGTTCCCATCTCCAATCAACTTTCCCTTTATAAAACTACATCCTATCTGCTTTCAATTGTCATTTCTATTTTTCCAAGCCATAATCCAAGGAAATAATTCCTCATATGGAAACTGTTCTGCTGCCCTGATTCCCTTCCTTCTTTCTGTGCTGCTCTTGGGTCTCTCCTGGATGGGGCCAGGGGTTGTGCTCCAGACATTTATATAATGGTACTAAGCTGTTTTCTGGATTGTTCTGTTCTTAATTCCTACTGATTCCTAGTATTCACTTGTCTTTCTGCCCACTAAAAAGCACTGGGGCTAACACTGTCATTAAACTATTTGAAATAAATCCCCATTTCCGAGGTGCTTAGGCAGTTTGATGCAGAGGGTCAGGATTGTTTCTTTCAACAAGTACTACTGTAAATTTAAGTAAGTACCGCTAAATTTAATATTTTTTGACTGATTTTTCATGCTACATTTACTTGTGATTGTCACTCACCTTGGTCACCCATTTTCACACCACTTACAGACAATGGTGAAGAGCAACGGTCCTTGCAGCACCCCATGAGTGCAGCACCAACGTGAAATCTGGCTTTAACCAGGTATTTAACCTCCATGGACCCTTTCCCTCATCCCAAGGTGATGTCATTTCCTTGGGAAGCTTTTACTAAGGACTTTCTCAAATTCCTTATGTGTTGGTTGTTGGAGGGGGACTCTTCATAAGGTACTGTAGCAATAGGACAAAGGATAATGGATTTAAACTTAAACTGGGGAAGATGAGATTAGATGTAAGGAAGAAGTTCTTTACTTTGAGGGTGGTGAGGCACTGGAACAGGTTGTCCAAAGAAGTTGTGAATGCTTCATCCTTGGCAGTGTTCAAGGCCAGGTTGGACAGAGCCTTGGGTAACATGGTCTAGTGGAATGTGCCCTTGCCCATGGCAGGGGGTTGGAACTGGATGATCTTAGGGCGCTCTCCAACCCAAACCATTCTATGATTCTATGAAACGTGAGCAGGCTACATTCATCCAGGTTTCTTACCTATACCTTTAGTCCTTCAAAACTCTCACTGAGGCACAATTCTCTATAAGAAAATTGAAAGTATCAACTCTTCCATGATCTGTTTTGTTCCTTTGACCACTTTCCTGTTCTTTTTTGGGGAATGGGTTCAGACAGCTTGCATTGTGTGGATGTCAGGGCTCCTTATTCCTCTGGAAGGTTTTTAAAGGTTGATCTTGCATTGGTCATCTTCCCTTTGGTGCTAGGACAGTTTCCAACTGCAACCCAAGTTTCCAATCCAGACGTTTCATACTTGAGGGCTTACAGCACTCTGCAGAGAACTGCCTGCCCTGGTGACTTGTTTGGTTTGTTCTTTCGATGCTTTACTCTGTTCCTGCCAGTGCTTCAGCCTCACACAGATGCTGTCCCTCAATGCAGGTGTCATGCATTGCTACACACCTTGCATTGGCACAGCATTGCCACACAGCATTGCCAGGCAAGCAATGGTGAACTCAATGCTTTATGCTTTCCTGATACTTCAGACTCTGTGGCATGCTGTGTCACCTGGGCAAGCAGCAGTGATGTCCCAAGGCTCTGAAGACCTTTGGACTCTTCATTCTTGTTTCACAGCCACCACCCAGCTGAGAACGTGTCAGATGAAGCGAGTTGTGCCAGAAGGCTCATACAAATGATCGTGGTTTTATCATCATTGTACTTACTTTGGCTGTCTGGCTCCTATGGTCAATAGATGCTTATGGTTCTGTTTCTAAGAAGTTAGACGCATTAGCTACTCTAAAAGAAAAGTACCAAATAATTTCCTTTATTAACAGTGTACGTTTTAGTGAAAGGCTTTAATTTTGTATGTCTACAGAGAACAAATGTTCTGCACAGACAGGCAGTGCTTTTGCACAGAACAGGAGACCTCGTTTTTAATGCTTACAAAACAAAAAGGTGAAAGGGTTTAGAGTACCTGTTTTTGTCAGCTGAAAGGGAAGACTTAGAGGAGGAGTCTGGAAGTGTCTATTGCTATGGTGTACTCCTATTTGGGCTCAGTCCTGCAGTTCTACCTCACGTGTGTGCTCTCAAATGACCAAGAATCAAGAAATAACTGAGAAACATCCATAAAACATTGACATTTTGGTTAATGGGCCATCAATCCAGGACACCATTAAGCTGCAATGAAAGTGGTGGCCAGTAAAGTTTCCTACATTTGAACAATACTTCAAAATACTGAAGTGGAAAAAATAGAATAACCCCCCTCCCCCCAGCAACTTGAACTTCCATTCTGAATCAAATTTGGATAAACAGCTTCACAGACGTGTTTGTTCTGGAGTTCCTCTGCAAGAACTGTAGCAGGCAAGGATGAGCACTATCTAACTAAAAATGAGCTATAAACATTCAAGTATCACGAAACATGGCCTGGGTTTGCCTGTCTTCCTCACAGAGCGCAAAGGTCAGCCTCCTGATGGCTTCATTGCAGGTGGGGAGTGAGGAGCTACTCAATGCAAAGAAGAGGTGCAGAATCAGGACCACAATGAGCAGCAATTACAAAGTCAACTACTTTTTCAGGGGGTTCTTAGGGCTAGATCTTTAAAGGCATTAACAAATGCTGTTAGAAACAAATAGCAGGGGCACTGCTGAACTGCATCGGGTGTGAAAATATATTGGTAGGTCCCTAAATGCCTTTAAAAATCTGTCCGCAGTGCACAGTTTCCTTCTTTAGAGGGGAAATAAAGGAGAATCGCTTAAATCTCAGTGAATTCATTGAACGAGACTTTGGGAATCCGCTGGCCCTTCTGGATTAACACCATGGCTGCTCTGTCAGAAGCCAGCACACTTAAAACAGTATTTATTCCCTAGTGTGAGCCCCGTGTTTCTGCACAGAGCACATGGATCCTGTGCTGCCCAAGCCTGACTCCCGTGGAAATCCTGTGCAGCTGATGTGGATGCCATGAGTCGTGCTGCTCTGCTTGGTTGCCAAATCTGATCTTGGGCAAAGCTCAACTGAGCTCCAGAGGAGTGGAATGGTGATAGGTGGTACATGAGCCTTGGAGCTGAACCCTCATGTTCACTCTTAAGAGCACTGGTGATGGGGTAGGACTATCAGCATGTGTCTTGCTCAGTGTTATTAGCAGCATGTCATGAAATCCAGTGTGGCTCTGTGAGTGATGCTAAAAGTGGGGATTTACAGGGAATCTGTTAGAAATGCACTTTTGTCATGCAGAGCTGTGTAATGGATCCTGCTTCCTTGGCGGCTGATGAGGCAGAAGACAGTTAATGCTGTTGACAGCAGAATAAGTCCAATGAAGAAAAAGGCTGCAAGGATCAGGCTGGTTTCTCCAGGACTCAAAGTTTTGCCAAAAAAAATGCCCCCTTTGCTGTCATAATCTGCTAAAAGAGAAACATTTGATAAGAAACCTACACATGAATCTGAAGAGTCTGAAATGACAGTTAAAGAAATCCTTACCTTCGGCAGTGGTGGTGTTTTTTGCAGTAGTTGCATTGTATGCTCTGGTTGTGAGTTCTGCTGAAGGAGCCTTCCTCTCTGTGCAGGGAGAGGAAGCATTGTTAAGCTGAAAACCTTAACAAATAGTTTGTTCTCATCTGTAAAAGTGGTGCTGGTTTTATATAATTATTTCTCCATTGGTGATCTGTACAGAAATCATGATTTGATCAGCACAGCTATTACTCTGGGCAGCTCCGTGGGCAATGTCCCCCTTCTCTATAGGCATCTCTGCTACTTCACTACCTACTGCAGTGATAGGACAAGGGGTAATGGCTTTAAACTGAAAGAGGGTAAATATAGATTAAAGGAAGTTCTTCCCTGTGAGGGTGCTGAGGCACTGGCACAGGGTGCCCAGAGAGGCTGTGGCTGCCCCATCCTTGGCAGTGTTCAAGGCCAGGTTGGATGAAGTCTGTAGCAAACTGATCTAGTGTGGAGCGTCCCTGCCTGGCAGAGGGTTGGAAGTGGATGAGCTTTAAGGTCCTTTCCAACCCAAACCATTCCATGACTCTGTGTTTCAGTTCTGCATTTGCTTATTCATTTGAAGTTTCCCAGACTGCATGAATATGTGGTATAGAATAACAACCTTATCCAAGGGAGGAATATTTTGGCTATATTTAGCATTACATTTGTTATCCTGCTGCTATAGGGTTACAGGTACAGGTTGTGCCAGCCAACACCGTTGCAGTCCCTGCAGAGCAGTGTAGCAGGCTCAGTGGACTCCCAGGCAGAAGATGCTGGATCCAGATGTTCAGTGAAGTTATGTGGCTCACAAACAAGAAAGGCTCACAAAGCACCTTTGGCTTCACTCAGAAGTGGTGGAAGGGATGAGCACCACTCAAAAATTTGTTAACTTCTCTGAGTCAGAAGATTTCCTATTTTTTGGACAGGATGAAAAATCACATTCTGGAGCATCTTTACCTCAGCTGATCTCTGCCCGTGCAGAAAGGAACTCAACTAGCTCTGGGAGACAGCAGTTATTGCAAGGAAGAACCAGCCCCATGCCAGCCTGCGTGCCCTCCCACACGCCATGTGTCAGCAGGGCTGAAAAATAGCTTTGCAGTTGTTTTCTGCACCAGCTGTGGATGACTAAGCAGGCTGACATTGCCTTAGAAGGGGTGCTCCACTTAGAAGTGAAGCACCAACTGTTTGTAAGCAAGTCGTGGAGTGCAGCAAAGATTTTGCCATGTCATTAGTGGTGTTTGTCCTGTCCCTAGATGATGTTAACTGGCCACGGCAGTAATGTGCAGGGTGCAGCAGTGACATTAGCTCTCATCTCTTCCCTGCCTTCTATAAGATCTGCTGCGATACCACCTCCGAGTTGTGGAACAAGTCCAGAGGAGGCCACGAGGATGATCAGGGGACTGGAGCACCTCCCGTATGAAGATAGGCTGAGAAAGTTGGGGCTGTTGAGCCTGGAGAAGAGAAGGCTGCGTGGAGACCTCATAGCAGCCTTCCAGTATCTGAAGGGGGGCTATAGGGATGCTGGGGAGGGACTCTTCATCAGGGACTGTAGTGACAGGACAAGGGGTAACGGGTTAAAACTTAAACAGGGGAAGTTTAGATTGGATATAAGGAGGAAGTTTCTTACTGGGAGGGTGGTGAGGCACTGGAATGGGTTGCCCAGGGAAGCTGTGAATGCTCCATCCCTGGCAGTGTTCAAGACCAGGTTGGACAGAGCCTTGGGTGATATGGTTTAGTGTGAGGTGTCCCTGCCCACGGCAGGGGTGTTGGAACTAGGTGACCTTAAGGTCCTTTCCAACCCTAACTATTCTATGATTCTATGATTCTATGTTTCTGGTACTGCACCTGATTTATTGATGGTGTAGGTTGTCTCCATGCCAGCGTGGATGTGATCGGCTACATGGCAGTGCAGAAGCCACGTTCCAGGGTTTTCTGCTACAAGATCAATTGTCTGGAAAGTCCCAGGAAAAAGGTCGTATACATCTCCTCTGTGGTCCTTATCTGTCTGTGCAAGGCAAACCCAGCATTGTGAGAGTCGTGCCTCAAATACCTTGCAAAGGCACTGAAATATTCCAGTTAGACTTTCAGCTCCTCAAGGCAGATCAAATGCTTCTTGTTATAAATTTCTAATGAGCCTGATCCAGGGAACCTGAGGTCTGTGGACACCTCTTATTTTTAATTATATTTATTTTTAATTATTATAATTATATTGCTCATATAATTAACAGGAGACCCCTCCTGGGGACTTTGGGTGCTGGTTGAGCCCAGATATTTCTTTGAAAGACAGTAGTTTTTAGATAGACCTGCCAGTGACAAGCTGTCACAACATTAAACTGCACTCTAAGCAGGCATAACTGATTTTTCCCTCCTGTATCTTTCCTTATACAGATGGGTGAACACTTATTTCAACCCACCGAACCATGTCTTCTAGCAGCGACATTTATTAATGTTTCATAGCAGTCTTACAGTAACAGAAGCTTTGCAAAGATCTCATTCATTTTGTATTTTCTTCACACGCAAAACTCTCACGGACCTCAGCATCAGCCCAGGGCTCTGCAGCCAAGCTGTAAAACCAGGCTAGAACCTGGACTTCTTTTGCAGAAATTTACCATCATATTCTAAAGGTTTTACTTTGATTGATTTTACCAACCTTGAAGATGAAGGTCTGTGCATGGAAGTGAACGGTATGTATGTCCACTTCATCACCCATTCCTATCAAATACCAGTTTGTCCTGTCACCTTTGTTCATTGTTAGACCCAGAAGACTGTTATAAATCTTCCCATTGATGGCTGGAAGAATGACAAAATAGGATTGGTTAATAACTGGCCACGGTATGGTGATGATAACCTGCACTTCAGCACCCTTTGCACTTTCTCTCTGGGGCGATGGGTTACCCAGGCAGAGAGGGGACAGGCATGTGTGACCATGGCAGGGAGACAGTCACAGTTCTTGTTCCTGTTTCCAGATCTAACTGCACAACAACAGCTATTTTTCTGTCTTGAAAAGTACTGGGCATGTTTTTTTGTTAGTTGAGGTTAAACTCCTGAACAAACAGGATTTATGCTGATGATCTGCATGGAAAAAGAGGGAAGAGTTGTTGCCTAAAATAGGTACCAACTGTAGATAAAGACAATTTGCTTTGCCAGGGTTGTTCCTGCCCCTGTCCAGTCTGTTCTGCCTGGCTTCTGTGCTGCTTGCTGCTACAGACACAGCTCTAAAACGTCATCCTTATGCTCCTACAGAGCAAGCCTGCAAGGACCACAGCTCCCAAGGAACAAGGGAAGATTGGAAGGGCAGCCTCTTCCTAAGAGTTTAAGATTAAAGTATTGTATGTCTATTATATATATGTAATATATATTATTTTATATATAAAAATATATATATAATATATATTATTATATATAACAAGATTGTCTTGTTAGAGAAATATCTTAGCTGGCCCCATGAAATCTTTTTGTTTCCAAAAAGCTGCAGTTTCTGAAATTGTGACATGGTTGGGCAAGTACAGGCTAAGTCAAGTGTCTTCCTAAAAGGGCTGTGAAAAAGAAACCTAAGTTCTTTGACTGCTGCCCCCGAGTCCTACATACCATGCTTGCTGTTGCCTTCTACAAAGTTCTTAGTGGCATTAAAATCATCAGGATTCTTATGAAGGTATGTTTCAATATTGTCTTTCAAATACCAGGATTCATTTTCATCAAACACCATAAACAGAAGAGTAAATTCACGATCAATGTCTTTCCTTTGACCTCTTTCATCTAGAACTCCTCTTCTGCAAACTACAAGAGGTCCAATCAGACCACTGTATGTGTCCTGAAATAAAGACATGGGTTATAGATTTCCAGTTCATCCAGTTATGAAATAGACACAAATTAACTACAGATTGCATAAAGATGAAATCCTATTTTCATATCGGATGAGAAAAAATAATTTCTTACTCTGATGAGAGATATCTTTCTCTCCATGTCCCTAAATTAATGTACCAAAGCAATGTTTTGCCTTCACCCAACATTCCTTCAACTATTCTTTAAAGAGGGAATCACATTGCATTGGTGTATGCCTGTGGATTTCCATGGATTACATTACCCAGGCATGTGCAACTGCTATCAAAGAGGACAAAGCGTCCAGCCCTGTAAATCATTCTTCTAGCCTGTGGTCCTCGCATAAATGTGAAGTAGGATCCTTTCAGAAACATTATTCAAGGTAGGATGCTTTAACCAAAGGAATGTGATCTTTAATGACCATTTCTTGGTTACCTTCACAAAATTCGCTGTTGAATAATAAACCCAAGTAATGCAGTTTGGATCTGTTTTACCAGGGCCAGATCGTTCTGGGACATTCCATCTGTAGGTGTTTATTTCCCCTGAAACAGAGAGAACAATTTTACCAAGAGCAGCTGGGTATAAGAAGCTTTGAGTAGCATGTAACTGAGACCTGCAACCCGCCTTAGCAAAACATGATCTGAATCAAAACTATCTATGGAAGCATGCAGCAATGAGATATGGATGTGATGCTGCCTTCCGAGAGGTTACTGAGGTTCCAGTGGTGTAAAGGAAGCCAGATAGCCTCAGAAAAGGAGATGTGCAAATGATGCTGTCAACAGTGGCACCCCACAGAGGGAAGTCTGGAGACAGGAGACTTTATCTTTCCCTTTGGGCAAAACATGTAGCAGATCACTGATCTTGGATGCTGGTGCTGAAGGTCATCTGAAGATGTTGGAGCCAAGCTCCAGAAAACGTTTGTTGGACCTTCTCAGCAGAAAAGGGCACAGTAGACAGTAGAAAGGGCACAGTAGACAGTGCTGCAGCAGCATATCAGTTCTGGACCAGGAGAGCTGAGTACGTGCCAGCCTGCTGACTGGGAGAAACAGAGGGGTCCTTTCCTCTTCCAGCTAAGCCCCTGCTCTCCATCAAATACCAGAGAGCCACTGTCCCTTCCCAAAAGCCATCACCCCTGCCACATCCTCCCTGAGCAGAGGTTCCCTGACCTCTGATTTAAAAACTCCAGAACAACCGATGGGGAAATGATCTATTTGAGTTGTCTACACTGAATGCGAACATGCCTATATTCAGAGGAACTGCCTGGGCTGCATTTCCCTGCTCTGTTTTTTCGCTGGTGCTGCAGGGAAGAAAAGGAGACCAAGATGTGGTCAGCGCTTTGCCCTTTTTAAGTGGTGCAGAAATGTTGAACCAGGCAGTCTTTGGTACTTGTCTTCCAGGGTGAAGAAAGTCTTCCAGGGTGGAAAAAGCCAAGAATAGACGGGCATATGCTACGAGTCAAGGAAAAACAAAGAAATCACAGGACTCTTAGCTATGGTTTTAGCACAGGCACAACCCAACAGCTGCCAACAGCTGTAGGCATCAGGTCAAAGGAGAATTTCCAAGCTTAAATGGTTGTGAAGTGAGTGAGCCTGGTTTTGTGTCACCGAGCCTGTTTTGATGGGTCATGCAATAGTGGGGTTTATTGTACAGCAATAACTACAAAAAAGAAATGGTGACTCTCAATTATTGTGCTCTATGAGGTGAGTCTCATGGAACTGTTGCAATACCATTTAATCTTACAGGACAAGCACCTTCTGTTCATTACAGCATTGGTTTATACACTCGGTGGAGATTAGAAAGGCTTTAAAGAGACAACACTACACTAATAGGACAAAAACCCACTAACAAGAAATCCCCAGTCTCAGAGATATTCATGCAGTGGAGAGATACACCGGGGAAGAGTTTGCCCTCCACCTGTATCTAACCTGCATGTCACCACCCCTTTTCAGAGGGGATGATGTGGGAAGGTATCCTGCCTATGGTCCTTTACCATTTTCTTGCTTTTCACTTCAGGACATTTGGACACTGCAGATGGAAAGATCTCCACTTTGCTTAAAACCTGAGACACTTCAGGTGGCATCAAAGACCTGTCTTTGAAGTTCAAATGAAGCATAACCCCTGAAAAGACTGATAAACAAGAGGAAAATTGATGTTTTCTCCCTTTTTCCTGCTGGGTAAATAGAGGAATGGATGAGGAGAGGACAAAGCTGTGGCAGCTGAGGGCTGTTTTGGCTGCTATGGATCTGCTCTCCGCAACTCTACCGTGCCACCCACAATCTGTCGAGGTGCTGGAAGTGCTCTTGGGAGTACAAATTAGCAGGACATCAATCTGGCTGATGACTGCTTCAAGATTTAATGGAACAAGATGGGCTCTGGGAAGCTTGGGGTGAGCAGTCCAGCCTGGCCTAGGGAGACAGGGAGGATTTCTAGATGACGGTGGTGGGTACAGAAGTGTCCAGGAATTGCTTTTGCTTTGTGGGACTTGATTTCTGTGTTAACTGCTGCTTTCAAACTCCTAAGGAAAAGTCTGTCCTTAGATTTTGCTGAAGAGTCCTTTCCTTTGGCTTATTGTCAAACGCGGACACCTTCCCTCAAGCTAACTTATCCCAAGCCTGCTCCCGTGTGGACATAGGAAGCATGACAGTAGTGTTCCCTGTGTTGCACCTCAACTGTTAACAGAACATCGACAGCATCATGGGGCACATAATAAAACAAGGGAATCATATAAATCAGTCCTTTTCTCTTCTTTCTTCCCCCCCCTCCCCCCATGTTAACCACAGGTATTGGCAGATGTTGGCTCATTAATTTTTGGGTGATTGTACTCTATTGATACAGCTGGTTACAGGAAAGAAATTCCAGCTTGGGGCATCAGAGCTTCTTTTCAGTTAGTTTCACACTGAAGCTCACAAATACTAACAAAAAATATTGTGTGAGTGATGGAAAGCAAAGGTATGTACACTTTGGCTTGACTGCAATGCCTGGGCTTGAGTCTGCCTACTACAATGTAAAACCCAACATAAAAATTGAAGTACAGATATTTTAGGAGGAACTTTTCTATATGAAAGATTTCAATGCAGTGAGAACTATTTTCCACTATTTTTCTCACTAGAAGCTGAGGCATATTTGGACTTTTGATTTTTTCAAGGAATTTTAATTCACACGACAGCTACATTTTGCATTTTGTGCATCAGCTCTGAATGCAAATGCTGCTTCTGTGTAGATCAAGAGAGAAGCAGAGCTCATACTGCCAACTGTAACTCTATCACTGAGCTTCTCTGTTTTCAAAACACAGTTTCAATCTGGAGGCAAATGCAGCTCTGGCTTACACTTCTCTTGCCGTGACTATGGGCCTCCCTCTGCCTTTTTTTGGAGGTTGCCCAATGATGTTACATTCCTGCTTCTGACTCTAACAGGAACAAAGGTACCTTCTCTGCCTGAACATGACCTACATGTGTAACACAGCATCGTATCTGAATAAAAGCTAGTGTATTATGTCTGGAAGAACATACAGGTATGCATAAGCATGAATAGAGGGATTATCATTCATGTGTTAAAAGCCTTTTATCTACAGCCTTTGTAGCTCAAAGGGAAAAAAAGGAGCAGCCTTACCAGGGAGTGTAATTGGTGTCTCGGGTTGCTCTTCACAGCCCACCTCTTCTATTCCATGTGCGGTTACCGAATAAGGCCTGCTGGCCTTGTTCTTAAACACAACCAGTACAGAGTCACCAACCTCAGCATGGAGTAACGGCCCTAAATTAAACCAGAAGATGCCAGTGATTAATGCTTCATTTCTGAATGTAACAAACTGACTTATCCCCAGCTTGGCCTAGGAAAGGAGCCAAGGTCTTTCCCAAAACCTTTGGACTCTTCTATTCTTTCAGCAGAGCCATCAAAACCTGGTTGTTGTCCCAGCTGATATGAAGCTCCTTATATATAAATAATCTTTTCTTCTTTCTGGTCAATGAGAAGAATTGTTCGCTCTGGAGGCAGGTCTTTGAACGCCTTGTTTTTAAGGAAAACTCTTGTGCATGGTTTTTGTATCTTTCAAAATTATATTTCTTAAGCTTTTTTTTAATAAAAGAAAAAAAAGAGAAAACTACAACAAAATAATGTTTTTACCTTTGTACCCCCCAAAAAGAAATGTCCAATACATTCCGAGAGAGTGTTGGTTACTTTATGGCCATTGTGGCCCACTTTGCACCCCATAAAAAATATGAGCTGATGGTTATTTTATGACATGCGTAAAATTTTGTCTTGCCCAATTTCAGACACAATTACAGCCCCTTAATAATGACTTAATCTTCCTACAAAAGTCACCCCCACATTACATGTTGTTGTGGTTTAAACCCTAGCCAGACAGCTTGTTCACTCACAGAAGTTAAGGTGAATCCTGGAATTGCATTTTGACATCCTCCCTGTTAGGAAACTCTTTATTCATGTCTGAGAATGAAATCTCTAATTTAGAAAGAATCTTTACACTCAGCAATTATACAAACTGGGTGTAAAATCACTGATAACCTGGATAGGCATCAGTGTTCCTTGTTTCCCATGTTAACAAAACTGGAAAAACCTAGTTTTTTGAAAGCAATACTCTCATGTGTCAGGCTTGGTCTAAGAGCTACTTGCCCAGGATTTCCAAGTGTTCCTCCTCCTCTGTCCTCACTTTACGCTGTGTGAAGTTGCCGTTTGTGTACTCCCTGTAAACCACCTTCTTGTATTTTGAACCAATCTGATCTTCTGCTTGATTCAAGAAAATATGCCCATAGCTGCAAAATTAAAAGTCAAAATTTAAACCCATTAAGCCTTACATATTTAAAGGCTGTTAACTGTTGTGTTCCTCCCAAAAGATTTGAGGAGAATTTATGGCTTGATCCAGTGTGATAATTGATGCGAAACCCTGGGTGCTGCAAGAGATTTTAAACAGCAAATAATAACAGCGATAATCCCTACTAAATATGCCCCCTCTTCAAACAGGTAAAGCTGAGAACACATTGCAATCACCACAAACCTTTGGGAACACAAATCCTTCACCAGAACTTGCAGAGCAGAGATAAATTTCAAGCTAAGAGTGGGTTTGGCAACTGTCTCCAGCTGCATCCTCTGCTCCAATAAAAGATACTGCCTGTCCCTGCAACCCAGAGTCCTCTTATCACAATGGCTGCTTTCACTATCTTGGCTATTAGTCAGCCACAGGAAGATGATAACTGAAGCCTAACCTTGCAAAAGCAAACGTCATCACCTAAGAGGGGCTGCTTTCCCCTGCCTTGTTCCGGTATGCACTGCACAGGGCTGGATGCCTTCCCAGAATGAAGATAGAGTGGGAAAGGTATTTTTTTGTGCCCTCCAGGTTTGAGCAGTCACCCAGTTTGTCCTTGCTCCGATGGGATCCCAGAGGGCTGATTTGCCAGCAGAGGACACTCGCCACTAGCTGTGGAAGAGAGCACTCACCCTCTTCTGAGAGCAGCTCTGTCTCCTGGCAGCTCATCTCCAAGGTGCCCCTGGCAAAGGAGCGGTGAGGTTGGCTCACAACGTACTAAATAAAGGCATAAAATGCCCCAGGAACACTGCTTACTGTACTAAGTGCTTACTGTAGTAATTTACTGTGTGTGCAACAACAGCCTTTGACAGTACTGGAGTTAATGTTTTCTTTAAGCATACTTCATCACCTCTGACTCTTGTATTTTCCACCCCTCACCATACTCTTCCTCTTCACAGGGTGCAGTTTCCCAGCCACTTTTCTAAGGTTTATTTTTTAAGTATGCTCTTTGTTCCTTTTTGTTTTCACCAAAGTGGTCTCAGAGACCTCCCTATGCGATATGACCTGGAACGTGTATCTTCTGCACATGGTTTTTATTCCTTAGAACAGTGCAGTATAGAGGTGATACACTTGCAGTGATTACTACGTTCTGACTTCTCCAGGGGAGCCAGGGGCTACCACACTGCAGTGAAGCAGGCTCAGCATCTCCCTAATGCACGTGAAGTTCTTGGAGGGGCTCATGTCTGGGATGTGTACCTGGGTTTCTTCCCTATGAAAACTAGAGCACTGGGATGGGGAGACTGGGGAGAGTGAGGGAGAGGAGGGGCTTGGGTGGTACCATTTTAGGGCTGAGCCAGGGCTGGAACGCACACATAGATTTAGGTACTTGGAAGCCTTCTTGGCTCCAACAGCATTACAAGACACGCAGATGAAAACATTTGAAAACGTTGCCTATGAACTAGTCCAGTCTGAGAGTTTGTCACTTTACAAATACATTTGCTCTTATTTTGTTCAGCAAAGACTGCCTCCTAACAGGTACGATGCTGGCTTCATGAAAGGATGCTTCCAAGTTTCCCCTCCATTCTGAGTTTGCCCCACGCTCACAAAAAATGTTTGCTTTGAGTACCTTTCCTCGTTGCTGCTGATGTTGTAAATGTTCGGTACTGAGCTCTTGTTTGAAGCATAGTCCCACTCCACCTCCTCCGCAGCAATGTAGTAGAGCCTTATGGTTCCGCTCTGCTGCCGGGCTCGGGTGGTGTTACGGCAGCTGCTGACCTCGTAGAGATGTTTCATCCCACCAACAAAGTGATCAAAAGTCCTGCAAACCACTTTGAATGTGCCTGGAAGGAAAGCACAGGAGAGTTAGGTGATTTAAAACACTTCCAAAAGCAGCTTGGCATCAGTTCCTGTGCACTGTACGTCTCTGATCTGTCCTCAGGCAAACCTAATCTGTGATGCTGTATGGAAAGTCAAGCACGGGGATGCTTATATAGAATCATAGAATTGTTTATGTTGGAAAAGACTTTTAAGATCATCAAGCCCAACTGTTAACCCAGCACTGTCAAGTCCACCACTAAACCACACCCCTAAGTGCCACATCTACACGTCTTTTAAATACCTCCAGGGATGGCGACTCAACAACTCCTCTGGGCAGTCTGTGCCAATCCCTGACGACCCTTTTGGTGAATAAATTGTTCCTAATATCCAACCTAAATCTCTCCTGGTGCAATTTGAGGCTGTTTCATCTCATCCTATCACTTGTTGCTTGGGAGGAAAGGCTGACATTCACCTCCCTATGACCTCCTTTCAGCTAGTGATAAGGTCCCCCCTGAGACTTGTCCTCACAGGACTAAACACCGCAAGTTCCTTAAGCCATTCCTCATCACGCTTGTGCTCTAGAACCTTCACCAGCTTTGCTGCTCTTCGCTGGCCCTGCTCGAGCACCTCAATGTCTCTCTTGTAGTGAGGCACTCAGAACTGAACACAGGATTTGAGGTGCAGCCTCACCAGTGCCCAGTACAGGGGAACAATCACTGGCCCTGGCCCTGCTGTTCTGATACCAGCCAGGGTGCTGTTGGCCTTCCCTATGCTTCTAGGGCAAAAGCGATGGAAAAGGTAAAATAATGTGCAGTTAGAGAAAATCACACGTTGATGATTGTCAAGATCTGATAATACTCAATTTACTGCTTATAGAAGGCTACCTGGCAAAATGTAAAAAATCTCCTAGAATATATTATTAGTGGGAGTTCTGCAGTGCAGTTACTTGACAGATAGGGGAAATATATGGGGTATGCACAAGAAAAAGATACCAGTGCCAGATGTCTAACCTGGCATGTGCACAATACAGATATTTCCATCAAGTGCTCTGGCCAAGGATGGTCCTTGGCACAGCCTTGCACAACAGTGATAACTGTTGATTTAAACAGAGTTGCACTAATGTAAAGAAAAGTAACATTGCACTCTTCATCATGAGATCATGGTCCCTCTGAGTTTGAAGAAAGCATCAGTGGATTATACATGAGAATTGCAAGTCTCTTTAATGTATATGCTTCTGAAGAAGCTCCTACAGAATATTATTGAAAAGCTATTATTGAAGTCCTAAAATGGCTTAAATCCCTATCTACACAGCAGTGAATTTTCTCTCTGCTAAAAAAGCCTGTTTCAAGAGTTATGGAAATCCTATGAACATCTCATTAGCTGTCTCTCTACCTGCTGCTCTGCCTATCCCAAGGTCATCAAAGCCTCCACTCTTTGGTGCATATACATATTTGATTTATAGCTCCTTCCCAGAAAAGCAGCCCAGTCTGAACTCTTAGCTATACCAGGTCCACATGGTCTCCATGACTTCAGGCTCCCTTGTGCAAAGCAGAGCATCTCACTGACTGTTATTTTGGCTGCCTGGTTTCTGCATGTGCCACACCACCAAGATAAGCTCATGAACGTACCCACACGGTCCGGCTGCATCAGCGCTGTCCATGATAAATGAGGAAACAAGGCCAGACCGTCCCTCGTCGTACCCCTCAGGTCAATGGTGTTTCCTTGAAACTGAACCCCGTGCATGTCGTAGTGGCTGCCCAGCCCGATGAGGTGCCAGGAGACCTTGTCATCCTTGCACATGGTCAGGCCTGGCAGGTTACCAAACAAGTAGCCATTGACAGCTGGAGGAGAAGGAAAGAACCTGGTTGGCAGTAGGTCTGTGGAAACTCACCACAGAGCCTCCTACCACCTTCCTGGCAAGAAACTCAGAGAATCATAGAATCAACTGGGTTGGAAAAGACCTTTAAGATCATCAAGTCCAACCATTACCCCAGTACTGCCAAGACCACCACTAAACCATGTCACCGGGGGCCTACTCTACATGGTTTTTGAACACTTCCAGAGATGGTGATGCACTTCATGACTCAGCAAGTCACAGCATTAATTAAAAGGGCATTTTGTGAAGCAGAGGTAGCACTGGATGACACCAAAATAATCTCGTAATGCTATTCCTATAAACTCTGAACTTCTACCTGGGTTTTTTTTTAGCCTGTAAAACCTCGTAATAGCCCTTTGCAGTGATGTAGCACTTCTCACCCAAGCTTTTGAGGACGCTTCACACACACAGAGTGAAGTGTATAAATAAGGCACCTCCTTTCAGCCTGGAGAATGTATAACCAAATGATTAAGGCTGTGGTGTAGGCCAGAAAGAGTCCACATTATAAATGCAGTTCTGATGGAAAGTTTTTATGTGATTTTTACCTTTTATTTCTACTTTTACTTCCAAAATGTACCTCTTTCTTTCACAAGAAAGGCTAAACTCCCTCATCCTCAAATGTTCTGTGATCGTTGGGTAAAAGATATTTTGGCAGAACAAAACTCCAGTATGAAATATTACCTAATAATAGAAGAATTAAATAGGTGGGCCTGGAAAGCCCAGAGGTTCTCTAACAATATATATTCTCAGTGCTCTTCAGAAATCTAAAGCAAAGAGAGGTTATGTGATTTGTTGAAATCTGTTGAGTCAGGAATAGCTTGGAGGAGGTCCATCCGGGAGTCAGATACTTAACATCCACAAGTGATGTTTTAAAATACTATTGGCCATTCCCCTCTTCCAGAGGTGATCAGTACCCAAGTGGGAGCTGGCAGAGCAGAGCAGGTGGACCTTCATTGTCCAAATCAGTGCCAAGGCCAGCAGTGAAATTTAAAGCACCAGTGAACACTGGCCTCTTCTGCAGTTGATGCCTGACTCTGACATTACTCCTTGTTATAGACTCAAGTGTTGTATTTAAAAGCTACACTCTTCCCTTTCTCCAGGCGTAGCTGGTAAGTGGTTGCATTCATTGCTAATGTGACTGGGGTTTCAGGATGCACTCCAAGAGCATCAGGAGCTGTCCATAAACTGACTGACAGCTTTCCACCTCATCCCCAGTGCACCGCAGCTGGCTGTGAATGATGGTAAAACCTGCCAATTCATCTTCTTAATATGACTGAACCAAAGGTATCATTAACAGATATTATATATTTCATACCATGCATTTTGTTGGATTCCTTGAAATCTTCATCATTTTCATCTACTCTTGAAGGGTCTCCAGTAAATGTTTCAATATTCTTGTGCAGATACCAGCTGTCATTCTCATCAAAGATTGAAAAGAGGAGGTAAAATTCTCTGTCTATTCCTTTCTGTAGCCAAGAAGGAAGCCAAGCCATTAAAAATCAATCTGTGCAGAATTACTCAAGCAAAACTTTCTTTCCCCCAAAAAATTGCAGCCATTTTCTCACTGTGTCCTTGTAGAGACAGGGATTGGCACTCTTCCATATACCAAAAGGATAAATAAAGTGTCCATTACTTACTTGGGGTGAAAATATGCATTGATTGCCAATCAGTGCATGGAAAAGATGGAAAACCTAGGGATGAGCCAGAATACTGGGGAATTATGGTTTCCTCCTCCTAACCATCCCCTTGGGTCAGCTTTTACCCTGGGCAATGCCATTTGTTTAATCTCTTAAAACTGAGCTGGGCAAATTGGCCCATATGGGACCCCCCACTCCAGTGCACCACCCTGTTGCTAGGGTCAAGCAGATGTCCATGTTGGGCACCTGTGTCCCGTCGGGATTCAGTGTATTCTTCCGACAGACCAGCAAAGGCCCCACAAGGCCAGAGTTGGTGTCTTTGACGGCATCAGTTGCTGAGTAGTACAGATAGGTGAGGCATGGAGGGTCACTTTCTGTTGGACCTCCATTTTCAGGCACCCTCCATTTGTATGTGAAGGTTTCACCTGGCTTAACGTGGGCTCCTGGCTTCATATAGCCTGCAGAGAGAAAATAGAGAAGGTTTTGTCTTCCTGAATACAAGTGTTTGCTGGGAGTCAGACATAGCTGCTGTGGACCAGCTCCCCCTTGCAGTCACAGCTTGGGCATCAGTCCTTGCTTCGGGCATTTATGCCTTGGGGACACCTCACCCAAGTCCTGTGCCATGGGGACAACCAAGACCATTTACCCATAGAGCCAGTTTAGCTGCTTCACCCAGACACCTTCTAATGCTATCATCTGGCTTCCTCTAATGTTTGCAACTTACTTTGCCCTGCTGTGAGGTTCATCTGTGGCACAAACACAGATGCTGGCTTTTCATTGAGCACCAGCAAAGCGACTACATCAGTGAGCAGAGCTGCGACCGCGGCTATTTAGAAGTTCAAACCCAATCTGACTCTGATAATTGTTTCTTTCTGATTTTGTAGCAGTGCACAGGAACCTCTGTCAGAGTCTTCACAGGGCTGTTGCTATTGTTTTTTTTTTGGAAGCTATTGTTAAAGGATTTGGGCCATTGTCTGCTGCCATGCACAGGGTGGATTTAGCACCACGCATGTAATTTAGCCGCTGTAAAAAAACGCCGGCATCCACTCACGAAGGACTTACAAAAAAGACTTGAAGGGAGAATCGGGAAAAGGGGTCAGCCCTGCACCCTGTGTAGTGAAGAAGAGCCAAGTCACCTTTCTGGTCTTTGCTATGAGGAAGATCAAGTAGGGAATTTTGTTTAATGCTTAGGCATCCATTGAATAGATTTTCCCAACACAGTCAGATGTGTCTGGCAGCAACAGCATTTACCAATCTAATACTCCTCTCTAATATCCCGAAAGAATCCTCTTGAAAATGTAAACAGGAATGGAAATAACAGTATTACATATGAACACATACTGTTTGCTGAAAAACACAATACAAAGAAGAGTACTGTTTTGATCATATCTGATATTACTGGATTCATCCTGCAACAATGTTCAATAAGGAGAGCATTGATTTGGAGTTAAAAACCCTCTGAGACTGGACAAGTGTCAAATGCAACATGGAAGAGTATTTCCTGAGACCACTATAAGAAAAAGATGCCTGCAAACATTTGTAGATGTCAGTAGGTACGTTTATGCACAGTATTTCACGTGAATAAGCTGCACACAGCCAATGTGCAGCCTTTGAAAAATCATTTACCTACAGCCCTTGTATGATCTCTACATGTATACAACAGGTATGATGGAAATACAGGACACAAGGGTTACAAGGGGAGAAGAAGGGGCAGAAGATTGTTGATGAATCTGGAGACAGGTTCCTCTCTGCAATACCAAAGGTGTGCAGCGCACACTGCTACTGAACTGTAGGATTTGGTTTGATTTTGCTCCACCTGAAAGCGTGCAGTGCTGATGGGCGCTATTACTGGGGAGTGTTAAATGAAAGCAAGACAGGACTGCAAGCAGAGGGAAGCCGCACTTCCACCAGGGAGCTACATCTGACACAGATGGCATTAGGACATGTGTGGGTAACTTCAAGGCTGGACTCAAACCAATTTCATGATGCACTGGGGCCTGCTGGCAAATTTGTTGTGTTGCAAGGTCAGCAAGTGGAGACAACAGAATTTAATAAAGCCTTTTGTATAGATTTTATTTTATGATGTTACGAGTTTTACATGTTGACCTAATTATCTTAGTGTAGTTCTCAGAGAGGGATTATGTCCTATGAGTTTCTTTCTCATATGTTGTAGTGGAAACAAAGCAATTTAGACAAGAGACCTGCCTTTCTTTTCAGTTCTACGAATGCAGCAAACTCTTTTTTCAGAGACCACAATATTATCTTTGTATCACTACGGATGGTATTCAGCTCACCTGACTTGAGCCATCTATCTTAGTCCCTCACCCAAACTTTAGGCTTCTTTTGTAGTTGATGGAGACAGAATGCATCTCCAGAGGGTGACCTACGTGTTCAAAGTAAATGGAACTTCACCCTTCTAAAGGGTTTGTTTCTGTCTAAAAAAGGTGCCTACCAATTAAACGTGACATTTAACACTTAGATGCAGATCCTGTTCTTGTACAAAATGAAAGGAAGCCTTTGGTGAAGGCTCCATTTGAGTGTTCACATATTTATGAGGATTAATAAGGATTATCGTTGCTTCACATTCCAGGTCAACCAGATAAAAGCTGCCTCCAACACTGACTATCCTGACAGTGAAGCGAGGGCAATGCCCAGCCTGGATTAGAGAATCAGGAGTATAGCAACCCAGACCATGTGAATGTCTGTATTCAAAGACTCAGCAGGGGCACTGTGCCAGATCTTTAGCTTCATGGTTCTGGAGCATGTCCAGAAGAGATCCACTGAATGCGCTTGAGAGAGATTAGAGTTAATATCAACTGGATTCTGCCTGTGACTTTGGCTTAACATCGACCTCATCGAGTTTTAGACTCCTTTATGGTACATGTCCAGGGGGAAGAGCCAGCACATTGGCAGACTGGGGAGTCCCATGGCTTGTGACATGTACGGTAGATACAAGTTAATCAAATCATCCCTTCTGTGCCCTAGCATCCACATAAAGGGCAAACCTGCAGAGCAACAGAAGATCTTTATACTCAGGTATTCTGGATGTGATGATAGAGCTGTATAGTCAAAACTTACCATCTATGTATGGAGCTCCTTCTGACAGCTTGCTGAAGCTTACACCATGGGCCATAATGCTGTAGCTTCTTCTGGCTTTGTTGGCAAAAGTAACCAGCACTGTGTCTCCCACTTCAGCTTTTATAACAGGGCCTTAAAAGATGAGAGTGAGAGAAGGTGTTAGAGCTACCCTCTACTATATTTCCATCTAAACAAGAGAGGGCTGATTGGCAGCTGTGTGCATAAAATTCCCCTCTGGATTCAAGCGGATCTGCATTCAAACCTGACATAATGACAGGAAGGGAAAATATTCACTGTACCAAGTATTCCCAGGTGCTTCATGTCCTCTGACCAAATCTTCTTACTGAATGTTGCATCAGTATATTCCACATAGCGAACTTTCCAGTATTGCCCTCCTATTCTGTCAGTCCCTTGTGTGAAATATATTGCAGATTCACTGTGGAATTAACAAACTGGATTGGTTAAATAGTTGGAGGTTCAGGCAGAAGCCTTAGTTTCAAATGAAGTTATAACTCCAGACACAAGAGAAATGACCTCCCCCAAGTTGCTAGTTTGCATACACTTCTCTAGCAGACAAGGGGAGGTATTACTGATCTGAATTACAATTATAAATTAGTTAACAAATGGACATTCATTGTACATTAGACTTTCATGTATTTAACCCCATTTACTTAGGAAGACGTCTATGTCAACTTACCTCTAACTAGCTTAGGACAACACCTGTGCCATTAACTGTGCACAGCATGTCTCTAATCCTTGTTAGCAAAGGAGATAATGTAATACAAATCATCAGTAGTAAAAGGGGGGGGGGGGGAATCTGCCATTATGGCACCTCTGAGGTACACCCGAGTGTAAGTGTGAAAGCTGCCTGAGGAGTTTCAATGTTAGCTCTGTTGAACTTTGTACCTCACAAAGGCACAAAGGGCTCACTTTCTCCATGGACTTAATGGATCAAGATAAGTGCTTCCAGAAGGCAACTCCAAGCACTGCAGTTACGAATATAACTTCCTGGCAAGGTTGTTGAAATCCATTCCTCCCTGCCCCTTTCAATTAAAGTTAATTGCAGTGCAGGACCTAACCCTGGTGAATCACTGGGGAAGTCTCACCCTGACTCCTGAAATTAAAGCGCAACAGGAGAGGACTAGAAAGCTCACCTGCCAGTGGTGTTTAAACCCTGCCCAGTGAATTTATCATAACCGTCAGGTCCGTAATTCCAGAGCACTTCTTCAGCAGCGATATAATATCTCCTCTTGTGACTGGGTGGTGAGGGCCGCGACAGGTTCTTCTGGCAGATCTGAACATCGTACAGTGCCTCCATGCCACCTGCGAGGAGAAAGAGTGTGGAGACAGTCCTTGGCCAGCTGCAGAGTCAGCAATATCATGGGTTCAAAATTCTTTAGAAGCTACATGGATTGGAAACAAATACTAGGGAAAATTGCTATTTTTAAAGGCATCCTCTGCCTGGGAAGATGCTAGCACCCTTCTCTTGCAAGGTGGTACTTTATGCCACAGGTAAACCCACTGACATCAATGACACTCTTTATTAGGCTTATTTACTCAATTCTTTAATCTGGGTAAGGATGCAGGAATGATTTTGGGGGTCAGAGTGCCTCCTGAAGCGTACAAAATGGCATCATCTCCCCTTGACTTTCACTGAAATAGAGGCTGGTTATTACCAGACTGAAGAGATTTGTCGGTTGCCAGAATCAAGTCTGTTTTGCCTGACGCAAATCCCACTGAAATCAATGTGCAAGTTCTTAGATGTAAAAATTCTTCCAGTTCATCTCTGATAGAATTATACATTGCCTGCTGTCATAAGACCCCTTTTTTGATATGTGCTTTTGGGCTATCACACCGCACAAATATCACATCATCACCAAATTCCTTCATGTGAAAGTTTCTGAAAACCCTGCCCATTTTTGTCTGATTTCTGTAAAGAAAAAAACTATGAAGCACTCAGTTGTCATGATTTTAGTTTATGTGGGTTTTATGTGGTGTCATTTCTATTTTATGTATTTCTTTATGTTTTTCTTATTTACAACAAAAAGTGATGATGAAGGCTCCTCTCACTGCTCACAGAAAGCATGGCATCATCATGGCATCATAGCAAACCTTCCTCATATGAATTACACAGCTAAGTTATTCATACTAGCTGAAGATTTGGCCCAACATGAGTAATTTCCACTGGTGACTAAACTCATACTTGTGATGTTTATCTGGTGAAATGGTTCCAAAGTACTCAGTTAGTCACAAAAAAAAGAGGTGTGAAATCCTGCTTCCCCTGGAAACATCTCTCAGTTTTCTTTTCCAAGCATAATAAAGGCTGGAACTTCTGGAAGGATGAGGGAGATCTATAGCAGCATACCTCGTAAGTGCTCGTTCACCTGGCACGTTATCAGCCACCTCCCCGGGTTCCCAGGAGTCATCTCCGCTGTGATGAACGTTGCTGGGAACAGACCAATGACATCTGCCCTCTGGTCTCTGCTGGTGAACGTGTGGCCATAGAAATACGCAGCATGGATATCTATCTCGCTTCCCATGCCAAACAAGTGCCAGGACATGGAAGTGTCAGCGCACATCTCCAAGACGGGAAGATTGCCATAAATATAACCATTAATAGCTAAAAACAAAAGTATGAGACTTTATGAGAGGTGAAAGAGAAGTGCCAAGTGCCTCTGACCCCATTTTAAGGATGATCCTTTCCTGGCCCAGAAAAGAAACTGTCTGAATACCCACAAGGCCCTCACAGGCTCCTTGATGAAGAGTACCATCTTGAACATGCAGCTTACAGCTCTGGATGATCAAAGGGCCCCAGATTCTCTGGCTAGGTCTGTGAAAAGCTTCCTGGGTGGTATCAAGATTGGCAAAGGCCAAGTCATCACCAAAAAGGCCTGATAATGAAGTTAACTTGTTCTGCAGCTATTTAATGTCTGAAATCTATTTCCTCTTATTCTGAGTCATAAATATGCCATTATGTGCCAGGCTTAAGCAATTTGGATTTGAAAATTACAATATCAGTCAAATCAGTCTAGTCAGCTGTCTCTTGCTCAGCCTCCACACCTGACAGTGTATCAGGACACTAGGAGAATAAGACTCATATTTTGCAAAATGTTTTAGCTCCTAGGCTCCATGGAACAAGCAAAATACAGAGAAATACCTGGATTTAACTTCTTACACCAGATCTCCAAGTGGCACAACGTACTATAAGCCAATGGATATCTGGACCACAGGAGTGGTTGTACCAGCCAGCTCACCATCAACAAGGCCATTTGAGAACATGGAATCATAGAATCCTAGAAGAGTTAGGGTTGGAAAGGCCCTTAAGATCACGCAGTTCCAACCCTCCTGCCACGGGCAGGGACACCTCACACTAGACCATGTCGCTCAAATCTCTGTCCAACCTGGCCTTGAACACTGCCAGGGATGGAGCATTCGCAGCTTCCCTGGGCAACCCATTCCAGTGTCTGAGCTCTTCCAACACACACATCTCTAAGTGCTCTGCAGCTTGCTTTTCTCTTTTCACAGCTGGTCAAACAGTCACAAAATGGCTTAAATCTGTTGCCCAAGAGAAAATGCTAAACAAATGGTAGAGCTGGGCATGAAAGCCAAATTCCCTTTCTGCAAACCAGTGTGTTGTGCTGTATTTATGGAAAAGCTTTTTATCAGCACTGCTTCCACATCCTGACCCCATTCCTTGCTGATACAGGTAAAGGACATCACAAGGGACAGAAAGTCCTACTGAAATGAAAAGAGCCTGCTGCAGATCACCATTTGCTCAAGAGTCCTGCTCACCATGCATTCGGTTGCTGGTCTGGAAATCTTCATCCTCTTTGTCAACTGTGGCTGGCTCTAAGCAGAACGTGTTTATATTCTCATCAAGGTACCAGCTGAAGTTTTCATCTACAATGCTAAACATCAGGGCAAAAGCATTAACAGCACCAGTCCCTTCTATTGAGGTCTCATCTGCAGTTCCTAAATTGCAAACGAAAAGGAAAGTGATAAAAAAAGCCTTGGAGGGGATTGAATTTAAAAGTGACAGTAACTTTGGAGCACTTGAGCAAATACAGTGCTCTGCCCATGATCTATAGGCACCTGGTTTTGAATCTCACCTAATTTTGCCCCCCTCCAAGAGACTTTGAACAGATGAGTGACTCCAGAAGGCAGTTCATCTTGTCTAAGTTGAGCTGGTATTTCAGGATCATTTCAATTCGACATAAGCATAAGTACCTGCCAATATCTGCGGTCCCATTTTCCCCATCTATGGCCCACTGCACCCAACCCTGCTCTTTAGTCACTGTTAACAGCTCTGTGTCTACACAGTAAGCCAGGTCATGGGCCTGATAGAGCCAGAAACCAGTGACTTTTATTTTGACCAGGAACCGAGGAGAGCAAGTTCTGTTGCTGTTGCAGTTCTGTTGCATTGAAGTGACTGCTGAGCCATACCCTCAGAATGGCCATTTAAATGTGGCTCACCCTCCAGGGACTAACAACAAAGCCTCGACAATTATCTAGGAGTAGACAATCAAATTTAAGAAGGCTGAAGGCAGAATGAATATAATCTGTTCAGGCTAAGTTCAGTATCATTATCTGAGTGACCATTTGGGGAACAACCTGAGACTACAGGAGTGGTGATACTGAGCAGTTTAGTAATACTCATTGACAGGTTTAGACTTCATCCAATCATCCAGTCTACCTCTGAACTCAAGGAAACCTTTGCTTCCCCTGTCTCCTACCGAAGGGAGCCCCAAGAGCCTTGCTGTCAGTCCTATAAAGGAGCCACACATCACCACTGGACAGAGGACTACAGCAGCAGCATCATGCAGATATCCACCTTGATGAATTCAAGACCAAACATGCAGATAACCTGGCCTTTCAGGCTAGGACCGTTCTGAATGTGCTATCTCCTGGCTTCATGTATTATGGCATAGTTATTGGCTCAGTTTCATATATTCAAGCAGTTCTGTAGAATTCAGAGGTTCTCTGGGAGAATGTTAGTCTGAGATTTTAATTATGTGAATTAAGCTGGAGACCAGGCCTATTCTTCCCACATTGAAGTATTCCTCTTTTTCATGTACAAAGCCTTCTCTTACATGTTCTGTATATAAAATCAGGGCTGATTTTGTACTGCGGGAAGTACTGAAAAAAGGCAGCAGAGATAGAGGGGAGAGAGCTGGTACATGGTCCCTGATGGCTCCAGCACAAAATCAGCAGGCTATAAAGTACATGGGACAGGTTGTCACCTCAGCAGTTCAGTGCGCACCCCTGTATCGCTATGATAAACAACTTGTGAGCAAAAATAGATATATAATCTGTATGGGGGAAAAATGACAAAGAACACTGGGGTTTCAAATATGTAAATACCAATGCCAAAGTCACCTGCCCGGATCTATTTTCATTTCCTGGTCAATGAGTCCTTTGCTTGTCCTGAAATGATCTCAGTTTGGGACCGTTTATTTTTGGTCTTGGCCATGACTGGCTGGCCACAGAGCATGCTGCAGTCCCTCCACCAGCCAAGGCAAATCTCTTGTGAAGCCTAAGGGGAGCAGGAAGGGGGTTGTCCCAGAGCTACAATACCTACCCTGGGATGCTCCTGGAATGGCCCAGCTATTCCTTGCCCCTTTTTATGGGCTATGTAGGGATAGACTCTAGACCATCAGGTTTATACCTGTAAGCAAAAATGACTGTTAAGATGCCAAGCTTGGCAGAGGGGCTCGCTTTGTCACTGTTTCTAGCTCAGTACCTTTTTTACAAACCAGCAGTGGCCCAATTAAACCAGATGCAATATCTCTTGGAGTGTCAATGTGAGAATGGTAAATCCAAGTCAAGCAGTTTGAGTCTGCCAAAGTTGGGGAATAATCTTTCCTTACTGGCCATGTGTACGTGTAATTTCCACCGGGAACAACAAAGTCGTCCTCTTTGCTTTTACCACCGGTTCCGTCAGGGTAAAGTGCTCCTAATACATTAAAAGGAAAAAAGGAAGCTTTTAGACACCCCCCTTAACTGTTTTCCTTAAATAAATGTGTAATTTCTTCTATTTTATCACAGGTTTATAAAATAATAACAGCACTCACAAGCAGAAACACTGATAAATTGTGAAAAGGTCAGAAGTTCTGGTAATACCATCAGAAAAATTATGAGAATTCAAATCTATTCTTTATCAGTAGACAAAACTTTAAAAATATACTAACAGTCTCTTTTTTTTTTTTTTGATTTGGTTCTTTACTCCCATCAGTCATCTACACCTTTTGTCAGCTAACACTGTGTATCTTCTCACAGTGTCTAAGGTTAAACGACAATCTAAGAGGACCACCAAGAGATCTTCCCTTAGGCTGGACTCAGAGAAAACTGATGAGAGTAATGAATGTAAGCAAATCCATACAGTCCTCTAACCAAAATAGGCATGCATAGGTTTGAGAATCTGAACATGAAAACATGCCTGTTGTAGCCCTACTGGGAGGAAAACATTTACATACAAGAACTCCATGTATTCAAATAGGCAAAAAGTAGAAGGAAGCAGAAAAGGTGCTTTGGTGACTTATAATTCAAGAAAAAAGACTCACCTAACCTGTTCCTGCACTGGGTTTATCCCAGGCGTCGAGGGTTTGTGGCAAAAAGTTTTAAGGGACGAGGCTGTTCCTGGTTTTAGTCATCAGCTGCAATTACTGATGAGTTTATGAGAGGGTGATCTAAAGTTCTCTGATGTCAATGGTCAGAACAATAAACACTTGGGCAGACTTTTAGCTGTGATATTAGCTACTCCAGGGGAAAAGGAGAGGAAAAGGCAAACCAGCTTTTACCTTCAGAGTCCTTGTCATAGAAGACCCCATGTGGATGCACAGAGTACGGGCGGGAGCCAAAGTTTTTTAGATGGATGATAAAAACATCCTCTTCTTCTGCCTTTAGGACTGGCCCAAGGAACCCCAGCCATGCTGCTTTGGGGATCTCCTGGGAGTAAGTGTCATCTGTGAATTGCCTAAAAACAGCCTTTTTGTACACACGTCCTATCCGGTTGGCTCCTCTTGTCGCATACACGCTTGCAAACCTAGTGTGGGAAGGGAAAATAATTTAGAGACCAAAAACCTCCTTTAAGAGCTGATCAAATAACTGGTGCTTACAGTGCATGTAAGTAGTTCTCTGGGATGTATGACATTGCTGGTGGAATAGAAGCTGAGGCATAAACCTGGACAGTGTTAGCAGGGTCCAAACCCCTTTCTGTGCAGTAACAGTCATCCTACTTGCAGGTCTGGTCTTTAGCATGGTTGCTACATGTCCTCACTTGAGGCCCAGCCACTCAGGCCTTTCAATACAGTTTTAGCAGATTCTCCCTCTTTTGAAGGTTGAAACCTCACATCTGAAAGCATGACTGTTCAGAAGGAAAAGAAAACCAAATAAGAGTAATTCTAATCAAGTAGTTTGACACCCCAGAGGAGTGGCAGGAAATATTTTGCATTAAATACATCATCTCTACATTCCAGAGTCTGTTTATAGCAACTCCAAGTGATGTAGAACCCACCATAAGGTCAGTGGTTGACATATTATAGCTATTAAATACCCGCTCCCTTCAAATTCTGAATTGCATTTGTAGTCTAATATCATCTAGCTCCACACTTCAACCTCTGGTTCCCATCAAGCCCTCTCTCAGATCAAAGGAACCACATACCATCAGGAACTTCTTTTCTATGCAGGCACTTTGCATAAGTTTTAATTAATTGACTAAATTGCTTTCTACCCTTCCTCTGCACAAACCAAGTACACTGACATTCTTCATGCCGCAAATCTTTCCTGAAGCTCTTTTCTGAAATTCTTCCATTATTTCTCCATATCTTTTGAAGTCTGAACACAAGAACTTTACACAATAGGCCAATATTCCAACTAAAGGCAGAGGTGCTCCCAGTAAATATTTCTTACATAGATGGAAATTAGTTTTTCCCTTTTATCTATAATAACATCATACTGGAAAGCCATGCTCATACCTTCTGTTATGATAGAAACTCTGTTTTTACTTCTCTCCACGTAACAGCTGACAAGTATGATACACATTCTTCATCCCTAAATATCCCACACAAAGAAGGTGGAAATGAACACCTTTGCTACACAGCCAGCCATGGACTGTATAGAATCATAGAATAGTTAGGGTTGGAAAGGACCTTAAGATCATCTAGTTCCAACCCCCCTGCCATGGGCAGGGACACCTCACACTAAATCATGTCACCCAAGGACTCGTCCAGCCTGGTCTTGAACACTGCCAGGGATGGAGCATTCACAACCTCCCTGGGCAACCTATTCCAGTGCCTCACCACCCTAACAGGAAAGAATTTCCTCCTGTTTATAGTGAGTTTTTCTGACTGGCCAATTCACCTGCTTGAACCTATTTTATTTAGGTGCTTTTGTGCAGTGCCAGCAACCTAGGTGTTGGATGTCACATGAGTTGAAAGGTGTGATTTACTATAATTTCTTCCCCATAAGATCCACTACTCCCCTCTTTTCAAGCCATCTCTGTGGCTCATCAGCCCAACCCACAACGTTCTCCATCTGTGATCATTGCACCTCTGCGACCACTGTTGAAACCAGTCCCTGAAGTGATCCAGATAGAAAAGCCTCAGAAAAGAATGTTTGTTCATTGAAAGATGTGCTTTATAGCAAAACAAGACCTATTTTGGCACAAACGAAAACACTGCCAAAGATACTGCTGTGGCAGAATAAGTTGGCTAGGATGGAGGGCAAGGAACAGAAGCTTCTCAGTCTGCTTCTTCATAGAGTAATGTATGTCAGATAAATACACCTGAAAAGTATGGTTGAGGAATGAGTTACCAAGAAATCTGGATTTTCAGTGAATTGGCAGGTCTGTGGTAACTGTCTGCACACATAGCAAGACCTGGCAAGTCACACCATGCTCACCGAGAGAAGATATCTTCCAATGCCTAGGGGAAAGAGCTGCTACAAGAGTACTACCACAGAGTAGTAGGCAAAGTGAGTGGTAGTGCAGTGTAAATGCACATGCTTCCTTACCTCATGGCAATGTATTCATGTGGCTATGCCCTAATTCAAATTAGAAGTTAATTTTTAAAATATTTTCAAAGAAATCTTCTCTAGAAAAAAAAATAGATTTTTTTTTTTTTTCCCCTGAAAGTACTGATTTTCAGGAGATATTGTTCAGCAGAATTTTTCCCATTTCATCAGCCACCAAGTACTGTAAATGAAGTGCTGCACTGACACCTTTCCCCATGCAGTGGTATGCTTTCCCCATGATGACAGTGCCCTTATGCCCTTGGTTTTTCGGTCAGACAACATTGCACACTCTCCCACAACTTCACACCCCTGGGATACAGCCTCTTCTGTACCCCAGAAAAATGTGCTTCTTGATCAGGCTTTGTCAAATGCTTGACATGAGCCTACCACCTTTAAAGGCATTGATTTGGGATTCCAAACTCCAGTTAGGTTTTGAGGTTCAAGAAATCACCCTGAAAAAAACCCTGTAGTTTTAGGCACCAGGGACTTTCTCATTGCCTAAAGCCATGCCATAGCATCTCTGTTGTCTAGGGCTGTGCCTGTCTCCTACTTAAAGCCAGCTAGGAGCCAGGAAAAGAAGTCTTTTTAGTGCCAGCTTTCTGAAAGGAAGCCCATTTAAACCCATTCAGAGATGCAGAATCCACTGTCCGAGCAATGGGTATCAGCTGCAGCTAGTCTCAATATAAGTGATGTTCTTCTGTGCAGGGCATCAAGCAATGCAAGAGTCATGGAACCAGAAATGGATCACAGCATGAAAGGAATAACCTGGCCTCTTGGCCCTGCTTAATTATGGCTTTTGTGTTATCATTGTCCAAAAGAAAACAACCAATGAACTCTGAGAGGAAATCATACATGTCACTGATGCCTTTGCTGTTGTATTACACTCGGGATCTTTCATAACTTCCATTCCTTCTAGATCCACACTCTCCAAAGGACAGAAGAGTTTCCCACTCAAAATGCCCTGATGTTTGGTAGTTTCTTGAGGTGCAGACATTTCAGTCTCACTTCTCCTTCTGTCTAGGAGAGGTAGACCCCAGTTCTATCTATACAGACATGTATTTTCGGCATGTCCTTTTGGTTGCCCTCAGTATCCAAGAACAGAGCAGATTGTTTTTTGTGAGTACTATTCTAGGTGTCCAGACTGCCCAGTTTCATCCACAAGGACTTTTAGATGCCCACCGTAGCCTTGCAAGTAGCTGATAGCCCTTTGCCTCTTTACAAATGTTGTTGTGCTGCACATTGTAGTGCTTAAAGTCCTTTGCAGAAAGATTCCCCACATTGGAGCTAATGGTATCAGCCCTAGGAGCTTATAGAATCATAAAATAGTTTGGGTTGGAAGGGACCTTCCAAGCTCATCTAGTCCAATCCTCTTGCAATGAGGAAGGACATTTTCAGCTAGATCAGGTTGCCCAGAACCACGTCCAGTCTGGCCTTGAATGTCTCCAGGGATGGTGCATGCACCACCTCTCTGGGCAACCCATTTTAGTGTTTTATCACCCTCATTGTAAAGAATTTTTTCCTCACATCCAACCTGAATCTCCCCTTTTTCAGTTTAAAACCATGACCCCTCATCCTGTCACAACAGACCCTGATAAAAAGTCTCTCCGCATTTTCCTTATAGGCCCCTTTTAAGAACTGAAAGACTTCAATAAGGTCTCCCCAGTCTTCTCTTCTCCAGGCTGAACAACCTAACTCTTTCACCTTTCCTTATAGCAGAGGTGCTCCAGCACTCAGTCACCGAGTTAAACATCCCCTTCAACTGCATCCCTTGTTTCATTCTTTCCCACTCACCGATTTCCCAATATGTTACTGAAGTAGTGGTTTCTCCAAACGCTGTAATGGTTAAACACATCCTGTTCTCTGAGTCTGCCTTTGTCTCTTTCTTCCAGTGGTCACAATGCACCTATTCTATCGGTCGCGCCCTGTCAAAACATCTTTTATCTGTCATTTCTCTCTTGTCACAAGAAAACAAACCTTCTCTCTGCTTCTCCATGCTCCCCTACTCACTTCAAACTGCTTCATCCTCCTGGTGACTTTGTGATATTTCTGCCTGAACCTTTTCCATCTTTTTGGTCGTGTGCAGTTATAAGAGCTGCTCTCATAAATCTTGACTATCTCCCTCCAACTCAGTTGTCAGCCTGCACTTCGTGTACAGAAAGTTACGATGATCAGCCAGTTGTACTTCTCATAGGAAAAGGGAATACTCCATCCTCTGGAGCTGGACCATGCAAGCTTCCTAAATTCCCTCCATCTCCTCCAGTCAAGCCAGTATTGAGGTTGCATATAGAGTTATGCGGGCTGTGAATCAGGGCATAAAAAATCTTGTTCAGACTAAGAAAGCCATGCAAATCCTGCCTTTTATTTGTGTGCCTGATCTCATTTTTCCAGTTGACCACTCTCAGCAGTTCTTAAACTCCAAGGAAAGTTGGCAATACACGAGTGGGACAAAGGGTTATTAATAGGGAATTAACTCTAATTCCTTAAAATAAGTATGAACATAATTACAGACATTCATGTCCCTGCAACAATGAGCATACAACTCTTCCAAATAAGAGAAAGAATAAAACAAGAGTGTCATGTAGATTCTACTGCACATCAAGACTGGACATGCAGATAATCTGCCATCTCAGGGTAGGACCATGAGCTAAGAGTAATTTCTACACATATTTCTTTTATCACACAGGAAAAGTATTTTGCCAACATTTTAACCATGTTTATGCTACCTTTGATCTTAAGAAACAGCTGCAACCTAACAGAGGTTACTTTTTCAAGAGGTGCTTACATGAGTACTATGTAGCAACTACATGAGTAGTTGTAATAACTACTGTAATAGAATGCAGCAAGGAATGGAGCACTACGCATTACGCATGGCCAAACTCCTCAGTAGACTGGAGCCAGATCTCCCACTGATATCATTTTGCAGCCTGCTGAATTTGTTTGCCGCTGTATCACCATGAAAAGTACTTCAAATAGCTACCAGATGTGGAGTCCCAAATTTTCTCCTGCAGTTAACGCACCCAATAGTCATTGTATGCTCCTGGGTGCAACTGTAGGCAAACGCAAACTCTCTTTTATTACCATTGTTCCACTAACGTGCCATAGATTTTACACAGCCAGCCATTTAAAGAACTATCTTTATGGGTTTGTTCCCTAAAATCTGTTAGTGGTGAAACCTTCCTTACTCTCTACCTGCTTCACATAGAATCATAGTTTGGTTTGGAAAGGACCTTAAGGTCATCTAGTTCCAAACCCTCTGCCATGGGCAGGCACATCTCCCATCCAACCATACTTTATGGCTGGGTTTATATCAGGGTTTTTTCCTGAAATCTCCCCATTTTTCCAGTGGCTGGAGTAAGCCAGGACTGTGCCCATGGCTCCAGGGTGCCCCAGTCATTTTAACCCTGGGTCATGTAGCCTGTTCAGGATAACCTTCTGCCAAACCATGACTCCTGTGATGCACAATGTCCGTGCTAGAGAAACGGCCAGTGGAGGGGAACCAGTGGTGTCAACTCACATTTGTAGATGGTGCCCTGATCACAGAGCATCGAACAACAAAGTTGTCTGTTCTTGAAAAAAAGAGACACGATGTCCTGAAAGGGTGTTTTAGGCCTTTTCTGACCCATATGAGCCATGGAAGATGCCAATCAAACCCCTAAAACCTTAGACAAAGCTCTGAGGTGTCACCAGTTAAGTGTGGCTATAATGGTTTCTCTCCCAGAATAAACTTCTGCTTCCCCTGAAGTCAATAACAAAACTCAGGCTTCATTAGAGCTGGGATTTTACCTTGAATTTCCTTTTGAGGTTGACCCTTCCCACAATGCTCATCTCTGCTGATGCAATTGGGTCGTTTGGCCGCATGATGACTTGGCCATTAGTATAGCACCTGTGACGACAATTTTACTGTCATTTATCTGGGTGGGATCTCCTCATAGGCAAATTGCATAAACTGTGTTTGATGCTGTGGTAACAAAAATCACCCGTTACTGTTGGTGGGTGCAAGACTTGGCCTGGATAAATGTAACATTGGTGTCCTAAAGAAAAGGGATGAGCTGTTATATCAAGCAAAAATCTACCACCAGCAGAGTAAGATTTAAATGTCTGTCATATAAACTAGTACCAAATTGATTAAAGAGATTATCAATCAAACTCTAATCCTGAGGGCTGAGACACAGCAGGGAGGGAAAGCCAACCGTATCCTGGGCTGCATCAAAAGGAGCATGACCAGCAGGTGGAAGGAGGTGATCCTGCCCCTCTACTCTGCTCTTCTGAGACCTCACCTGGAGTATTGTGTGCAGTTCTGGTGTCCTCAACATAAAAAGGACATAGAACTGTTGGAACAAGTCCAGAGGAGGCCACGAGCATGACCAGGGCACTGGAGCACCTCCCATATGAAGACAGGCTGAGGAAGTTGAGGCTGTTCAGCCTGGAGAAGAGAAGGCTGCGTGGAGACCTCATAGCAGCCTTCCAGTATCTGAAGGGGGCCTATAGGGATGCTGGGGAGGGACTCTTCATCAGGGACTGTAGTGACAGGACAAGGGGTAACGGGTTAAAACTTAAACAGGGGAAGTTTACATTGGATATAAGGAGGAAATTGTTTCCTGTTAGGCTGGTGAGGCACTGGATTGGGTTGCCCAGGGAGGTTGTGAATGCTCCATCCCTGGCAGTGTTCTAGACCAGGTTAGACAAGGCCTTGGGTGATATGATTTAGCGTAAGGTGTCCCTGCCCACGGCAGGGGGGTTGGAACTAGATGATCTTAAGGTCCTTTCCAACCCTAACTATTCTATGATTCTATGTCAAATCACAACACCCAATGTTGTGCCTTGAAAAGCCACTGCCTATGTGATCCTTAAAGGGAGCAGGCAATGTCTGCACTCACCCTCCTACTGCAGCAATATTCATATCTCAGCCTATCAAATCTCACTGGGATCTGCAGCAGGTCCAGCAGCATTGACAGCACCTTGCACCCTGTCTGTTCAGTCCACCATGCTTTAATGATGTCAACTCTTTCACTGGTTCTATCAGGCGGGAGAGCATGCTGAGCACCTTCCCAGTTCACCCAGACTCAGTGGCCATAATTTAGATCCGTGATTTCCAAAGTCCTGTGTGCTTCAGAAAATGTCAGCTTAATTTTTGAAGGAAGAACTGAGATGGAAATGCTCTGGTTTCATTCATAACACTCCAAATTACAAGCAGTAGTGGAACAGCTTGAGGCTTCCAGTAGACAAGACAATTGGCAGAGGTGAACAGACTCATTACTCTCTTTACATAAGAGATACTGATGCCCAGCAAGATACTAACTCTGTGCAAGCAATAGGCTGGCCCTTGAGCACAGCAGCAACACCAGGCCTAATAAAAATTAGCATCCAAGCAGAATACTTGTGTTAACAAAGGGCTGCATTAATCAGCTCTGATGAGAGGAAGCCTTTTCAGCTCACACCCAGGGAGGTGCTGATGCAGGTCTACCGCTCCTGGCTCCAGAGGCAGCTCACTCAGCACCAGCACAGCGGGAACAGGGGAGTGTAGCTGTGCCTGGTACCAAAATCAGCTCACCTGATTTCCAGCCCCATACCTCAGTTACTGAAGTCTCCCTTCTGCTAACAACGAACAAGCTGAGGAAGATACTATTGATTTTGGCACAGCAACATTGAAAATCACCTCTTAAACCTCACTATCTGATCCAGGTAATGTAACACTTTCCATTACACACTTGCTAATTCAGCATTTTTATTAAGTAGTGAAGAATAAGTGGTTTTGATTATATCTCTGTGGACTAGCTGGAATCAAAGGGAGCATTCCTTTATGTGTATGAACTGACTCTTTTAAAGATAAACAGTTTGTCTGCAACCTCTTTATCTTGACCTCCCTATCAATAAAACTGGGATAGTGCCCCATCAGATGGGTGCTGTGAGGATGCATCACAAGGTGAGAAGTGCTAGGTTCAGCAAATATGAGCGTGGCTGCTTGCAGAGCACATCTGGCTTGCAATGCATTCCTGTCCACAGCCATGTACAGGATTCTACCCTAGGATCCTTCAATTTATTTATGAAACTATGTTTTTTATAATATCCATAGGAACCAATTAATTTGCTGAAAAGTAGCCCATTAGTATAATGCTTAAAATTTACTTTAGAGGTTATCCTAAAGAGCTAGTCAAAATAGGTATTACCAGTTCACTATTTAGTCCACACGTTTATTCAGACACGTTATTATTCCAGAATATAGCACTTTATTCTGACTCAGCTCTATACAGTTTGAAAATGGACTAAACTAGTTACAAGAATCACTTTATTGTTCTGCACTTCAGGAGCTCATCGTAAACAGCTCCCCAGCTTTGGATATAGAGTCTACATTAAAATCCTCTGTGGGTAAAGCCTTTGGAATTAACATTCTGTAATTACTACATTACAATGATGACTGAAGACATAAACTATCTTCCTTCCCTGTCATGCCATGTAAAGGGCACCACATTTATGTCACGGATTTTAAAGTAGATGCGCCACTTGATGTTCAGGGGGCACAGAGTGCAGACAAGCTTTAAAGTACAATTTACAGTACAGATTCCAATTTCTCTATGGTATTGGGGCGAGTTTACTGCTCTTCCCTTAAAGCTGAGTTATATCTATTGAGAGGTCTTCCCCTTCACTAGTTCAGTGAGAAACTTCCCTAAACTTCCCTCTCTGTTTAGGGAACGGAAAAATTAGTCCTCTGCTAAAATGAGAAGGGAAGTGGTAAATTCAAGTGTTTAACACAACTGAAGAACAACATTTTCAGCTTGTTTTCATAGGCTGGGAACAATTATTAGCCTGAACTCTACCTATAAATGTAACCTATTGACTTGGATGCTGTCTGGGACATCTACTTGTTCAAACCATAAGCATAAATATGCGTTGAAAAATAAAACTCTTTCTCGCCTCCCACTTGTGGCAGAATAATCTCCTTTATGAAGTCCAATTGGGAATGATTCTGTAATTACTGTTCACTAGAGAAAAGTCTGGCATCGGCTGGGATTTCCTGAAAAATGAGAAAGGACATTCCCACTTCTAACTCCCGGGACAAAGCATTCAGCTCCCAGTGTGCCTCCAGACCTGGTATGGACACCAGGATCCCCTCACTTGCTCACAGCTCCCACCCCAACCAGAAGCCTAGGCGCAGAGGAAGGACCCCCAAACTATCTCTTGTATGTCAAAGTTTCAATGAATTAAAAATACTCCCATACACGTTTAAAGCCTGTGCTGTGGAGCGGCACCAAGGGTCTGTACCATCCCCATTCAATGTCCAGGCCAGCTCTCCTGGTGTGTGAGGGACACGTTGCCAACCCCAGCAGTGCAAGCACAAGAACAGATGCCTGTTTTCCACTGGCCAAGGCACAATTTATCACTGTGCTTACCTATACACTCCAGTTTCATCACAGCTGATTGCTGTGACTTCAGTACGACCATTTACCCTTGTACGTTTAAGCACCTAGTTAAATAGATTCCCTAAATGGAGGTCTCCATACGTATATGGACATCTACTTGTATCTTACTCATAGGTACCATACTTATCTGAATTTTACAACGTCCCACAGCTTGTACTGTCTCACAGGGAGAAAACCTAAAATCTTTTGCCACTGGAACAGACTTCTGTGCCTTATTGCAAAGAGCTGTGCTTGATTACAGCAAAGTTGCAATTTGCTGGTGGACAGCAAGTCCCAAAACACCTGCATCTCCATAAAGCACACAGAGCCCACTATCTAACACTTTTTGACAAATATCAGTTCCTTAACACCACTTTCAAATACACAGGATCGCCTTCTTTAATCTACCATGATGGAAGAGAAGTCAACCAGTCTACTCTGGCCTTGAAGCTGAAATCTCACCTATGACAACATCATCTGAAGAAAACCAAGAAAAACACCATATTTAGACCTTTACAGCAACATTAACTACATTGGTCAATTCTCTTTGGAGCTGACATCTTCAATTTATCAGAGCCCCCAGTGACTTACTTGTCCTGTAAGAGGTTTTCTCCGGTGATCAGATTTTTCCCGGACGGTGCATAGTCCCAGTACTCTTCCACAATCCCGAGGTAATAAGTTCTGGTCTTTGCTTGCACCACTGCAAACAGGCAGAGGAACCCCAGAGCACGAAGGCAGCCACCACGCTGGGCGGGAGGCATTTGTAGTTGTGATTGCAAGGCTGGCAGCGGGCAGGCAGCAGCAGGATGCACCAGAGAGCTCACCCCTCCCTCTCAGCACTCGACAAGTTATAAATAAGGAATGGACAGAGCAAAGCTCCTCCTTTTCATCAGGTTAGGACTGGGATAGGTAGAGAGCCCAGCTATGCAGAGCAGGGCTAGGGAGGAGGTTGCTGTCATGGCAGGACCTCTGCCAATCCTTCGGTGAATACATAAATTGCTCACTTACCCGTCAGGCTAGAGCCAGCTGGTGGTTTTTGGAAGTTGGGATGCTTTTTTGTCATTCTTTTCTCAGACCAGGTGGTGCGGCACACTAGGGCAGGGGTTTGGTTTGGGGATTTTCTTTTGTGTTTTTTGCCATTCTTGTCAAATCCCTTTTTTAATTTTTATTTAACTTTTGCTATGCCTGAGATTTCTAAAGCTAGCATCTTGCTGTCTTCATTGGGCTTTTTTCAATGACATAACATTAGCTTATAATCCAGCATTATCAGAGAGAAAGAATTTGCCAGTACCTCTCCAAGGAAGATTTTTCTGACCCATTTATTAACATCATAAGTGATCTGAACATATTCAGTTTTCAAGTGCCCAAAATGAGGCCCCTCTTTACAAACATTTCTGGAAATTAGAGCCCTTGTAAAGTCTTACCATTTGGACACTTAAGAACTGAGGCACACAAAGATCACCCTTTTATTAACCTTGGTAATTAATATGCCTACGTAGCTCTCTAGAAAATCAGTCCCTCCCTTTATGGCTTAAATGCCTCAAAGGTGACATCTCTATTACCATTTTGGCAAAGCTAAGTGTAAACCTGTAACAGCATGACCTGATAGGGTATTCTAAACCGCTTAGGAAACATCCCCAAAGAAATCACCCAGGTGGCAAGGCACTTTGCAAAATCATACTGCACTCTTACTGATGTTTAACTGACTGAAGACATAAGAAGTTGCAGTTCTGGGATACAGCATTACTCTTGAGACTCATTGTGAGCTTCAACAGTTGTGAAATTCCCCTTTTAGCTCCAGAACAGTCTGACCTCTTCCTGTTGAAACTAATGGTTACTCATGGCTAGGGGTGTAAGAGGCTTCATAAATGAATTTGGTAGCCACAGTTTTAATGTCGTCAGTGAAGACCTCAGTGATGTGAATGTGGTTTTATGTGGCAGTTGCATGAGGTTCAACCTCTAACAAACAATGGCAACAACTACATATACAATCAGGTGTGCTGAATGCCTCTTTCCATCACTGTGTACAGGTGTCTCTGAAGTCACACAGCAAGTAACTCAGAAAGCAGGTGAGGCTCACAGCAGCCCAGCTTCTAGCTAGCTGGACTATGATAGATCTCATCTAAATTAAGGGACAAGGCACACAGACACAAAGAAACTTTCAGTTTCTTTAGACTATGTTTTGCATGTCTTTATCTATGAGGACTGAAAGCCCAGTACACATGGGTAAGGATACAGTCAGACAATTGCAAACAATCAAATTAACGTAGCTGCAAAGCAAGAGTCCTTCAGCTGTAAGCTTCTATCTGTACATACCGTTGTTCGTTATCTGAAGCCAGATGATTGACGAACATTAAGAAGGAGAAGCGATAGGACAACACAGATGTACAGAGATCCTGATCCTAAGAATCAGCACCCGCAGACTTCCTGATAATCTTGAAGACCTTGCTTATCTCTTTGTATTTCTGCTGCAAACCACATGTTGCCCAGCATCTCAGCCTCTCATGTCTATTTATACTTTCTTCCAAAATACTGATATTTCAGTATCATCTTTCTTTTCCATTGCTTTGTCGTGCCATTTGGTTACTCAAACAATGCCAATACTAAAGCTACTGTGATTCTAAAGGGCGTAATTAGAAAGCAAAGGGAAAGACTATGACTGCAGGACAGGCAGAGGCTCTGCCAGCCAGTGGCACAGCTATTGAACATGAAACTGTGGTGGGACCAATGGACCACCTGGTGGGCTATGAAGCTGTGCAAAGGCCAAGGTGACACTTGGAGGTTAACAGGACCTCACTGTGATCTTTGCACAGGGCCTGGGACCCTGCAACCTCCTGCAGCCTTCTGTCTCGAGCCCAGGTGAGCTACAGACTTCATCTCCTGTCACTCAAGCACCCGAGTTTACAGAACTGGGTGCCTGTTATGCAAATATTCATTGTCATAAAGTAGTAAGGATTTTGCATTTGAATAGGAAATACGCTTACTTAGAGGGTAAAGTGCACTTTGAATGAAATTATATAGAGTTCAGCTACTTAAATCAGACATTTGCATAGCACTACTGATATCTAAAGAGCAGGTACAGGGCAGTTTCATTCAGACAGTCTTTCTGTGACCTTCTGCCTGTTTGCTTTTTTGTAACTAAAGAATTCTGATATGCGTTAAATATAAATAGATATATATGTGGACTCATAAAGCTCAAGCGCATCAAGCTAATGGAGAATAGGAAGGAGGAGTGTCCAATTCTGAGCTGGAACCTGAATACATTATAGTCATTTAAATAATAATAGTGTTATGTCCCAGTTTTTCTATTGCTTCTCTTGTGCCCAGGATTGGATATTGGTTACTTTCTTGCTGGAATAACAATTCCAAATTCAAATATGAAGTTAATTTCTTTGTCTATGACTGTAAAAATTATTTGTGTAACAGGAATAATGTGTGGGCATTAGCACCCTAGCACCCTATATCAGCAACCTGTTGTAAGTCTGGTAAACGCCTTAGCTTGGCTTCATCATTTACTAGATCTGGCAACTTATATACCCTTTGCACCCACATATTAACACTTAATTACCTTGTCACATCATTAAACCCAGGCACATTTACATTCCCGAGAGGTGCTGTGGGCGTGACTCAGAAAAAGATGAAAGAACATCTATTTTGCCCTTGCATCAGGAAAACTTCTGGGAAGCTCCCGTCCAGCAGTGAGGTAATGGGATTAAATCTGTCACTTTGTTCAGGATCCTGTCAGAAAAAAGGTTACATACCGGCTCCTCTGAGGCTTCTGTCCCACTGAAGGCTAAAATTGGTATATGGTTGGGTTTTGAAGTTGTTTAATGAGGAGCACGTTCATAGTTCGTAGGTCTGAAGGGTGAACATCTTGAGTACCAGTTTGTGAATGAGCCCTGGAACATCACCAGTGGAGCTTTCTTTTCAAGCACATCAGAAATGATGGCAATAATTATCCTACGTTAATCCCCTAAACCCAGACTTGGGCCACCTAATGTTAGTCAGTTAACTAGAATACCTGAGTTAACCTTGTGTTGGTCAGTAAAGAGAGATGTTGGATGTGCTGATCTTCTGCAGTTCCTTGAAATTAGGTGACATGAGTTCACAGTTGAGCACTTTATTCAGGCTGCCCACTGCTGAAACCCAGCTGGTGCTCTCCATTGAGAAGGCCATGAGTTGATGTTCAATATTGACTACACTGTTCTCTCTTCTTCTTCTTGATAGCAGCACTGTTCCCATTCATAGACACTCCTTCCTGGTCTCTGTTATGTTGGTTTGTGTGTTCATTGCAATCCAGTTTGGGCAATTAGTCTGCCTGTTTCCAGCATAAGATTACCCTTAGCTGGTATTGCCACCAATATGGAGCTCTGTCTGTAGTGACCATCCTAAGGTGACAAAGAGTGTCTGTGGTAAACCTGGGAACTGAGTTACACCCTCATAAGTTTTACACCAGTCTTTTAACCAAGCCATACTCTTCATTCATCAGTTTCCCCACATTCTTCAGCCACAAACACATATTAAAGACAAAAGCCTCATAGTACATCTGTGGAAAACAATTTCTATTACACTTTCTAATAATTTTCTGAGTTGCAGTAGTAATGAGCAGAAAGTAAACCTCCTGTTATAGTCCTGGACAGTCACACAAGGTGTACCTGAACTACTTTGGTCTTTTGAGTTCACACTGATAGGTTGGAAATCTCAAAAAAAGGGTGCTCTCCAAGGCATCCACCACTTCTTTTTTCAGTTCTGGATAGGACTTTGATGAGAAAGGCTTCCTCAGCATACATAGCACTTCCCAGGAGCAGTCCAAGTCTGAGCACTGAAACTGTTGGAGATGGAAAGACAAAAAAGCTGCTGTAATGCCACGAATAACAAGGATCTGCACTCAATGAGGATACTGAAGGGCAACTGTAGCCCATATTAAAGGTTACCCAGTGTGGAATTGACTCACATCTGCCCAGAAGTCTTTGTGGCAGGATGGAGACTGAACCCAGCCCTCCAGATTCCCACGTCAGAGCCCACATGGCTCAATACATGCACCCAGCTCAGGGTCACAAAGGGGCATTTACCACAGTGGTTGTCTGGAGATCATTAGAGGAGAATAATTTTCTCTGCACATCTCTGTGCAGTCACTCTCCTTGCAGAACAGCTACTTTGGTACATGACCAGTCGTGGACAAACCTTAAGTCAAGGTGCGAAATGGAGAAGAAGGGTCCTGCTATAACAGAAGCAGCCCGCAGACCCTTTCTTTTCCTTCACTGGTTTGAGCCAAAATCCTATATGCCACACCAACACAAAGGACAATACTGTAGCTGAATTGGGACTTCAGAGAAACTAATTATATATTGGAAAATAAAGACACTTAAATTCAAAGACTGTAAATAATGAGAAGGAAGGCATTTAACAGTGTACTGAAAGGAGCTGCAAGTTTGAAGAGATTATACTAAATTGCCGAATAGGCTGGGCAAGTGAAATGTGTTCAGCCACAAAAGCCATTAAAGCCAAGCTAAAAAAAGGGAAGTTTTGATCCTAATTAAGAGAAGCTTCTTGCGTGTGGTAACTCATGCAATATCTGCACTGTTAAAACAAGGCTAATACCTCAACAGAACTTCAAGGTACATTATTTATGGGTTTCAGTGTTGCTGCCCATTGTAGTACCTAACAAACATGAAAGAGCTGAACATTACATCATCTCTATGGGGCACAATGTGTTCATTAACCCTATTATGCAAATAAGGAAAGAGGAAGGTTAGGTAAT